TATGTTCATGGTTGACAGGAACCACAGTATTACACACAAGTACATTTGGTTGTGACATTTGCAAAATAATAAGAAACAAATCCTGCTCCCTAGTGGAGTGAGTCCCTTTCTCCCCTCCTCCCCCTTTGCCCTGACTATCTCCACTGAGGGCCTCCTGCTACCTGTGGCCGGCTCTGGCCTGTCAGGACGCTCCGAAGGAGCACATGGTGAGAGCATGCTGTCTTGGGCTCCACCTGTGCCCCATGTGAACAGGGGCCTGGTTGGATGAGAGCAGGACCTGTGGTTACGGATTAGGGAGTTAAATTTAACTGGGGCTTTATACTGAGTGTGCAGAATGGAGTGGATTATCCGCAGGCTAACCAAGGTAACCGACCACTTGTACCGCAGGATTTCAGAGCTTTTTACATCACATTAAAGTTTTAAACAGAGTGCAGATTAGCAGTTAACCACAGCCTAAGCTCTGGTATACAGCTCTCTTGTACTTTCTCACATTAGGAAGGTAAAAGGACCACAGTGGCTTCTTCTGACACAACATCTCCAAACATGCAGGTGAAAGAAACAGCACAGAAACAACTGAGGGCAATTTTTTCCACAGCAACAACAGCAATAATAATAAACTTTATAGTTCTATTTGTATTATTTATCTTATTTTACAGTAGATGTAAAGCACGTTATAAAAATAGAAAATTACAAAATAAACATAAAAGCAGCACAAGTGGTTAGATGTTCAACTGAAGACGCGTGCTCATTAGAAAATGGAGTAGACCTTGTAAGTCTGGATTTGAATGCACTCAGGGTAGGTGACTCTGATTTCCTGGGGGACAGAATTGCAGAGCCGTGGGGTGTCGCAGGGGAAGGTCCTGTCACTCAGACAACGAGTGTGTGCTGCCGCCTTCTAGACTGACCTCATCGGGTCTCAGAAACTAGGCAGAGCAGGACCTGATCGATGCCGAGACTGGAGACCCCCAAGGAAAACTGGCTGGCTGCTGCAAGTGGTGCTGGTGGACCAGTAGGTGGCACACTTGCCACCAGCAGAAATTCCAAACTAATGTCCCAGGGAGGTGACAATGGACTCTCTGCCCTAGGAGAAATCTCAACTGAAGGAAACCAATTGAACATTCAGGACACTGTTGGACATTACCATACATGATTGTGCTTTTCCCACCATGTAATCGGATACAGACGACTCTCGTATGTGTTCATAGTAATTAAACCCAGTGCCGGCCAGAGGAGGACGGGCTCCCCCTTTCGAACCTTGGTTCCTCTCAAGGTTTCTTTCTACTTTAGGGAGTCTAAGGGAGTTTTTCCCTTCCGCTGTCGCCTTAGGCTTGCTCACTGGGGGTTCAGGCCCGGGAATCTGTAAAGCTGCTTGGTGACAGTGTCCATTGTAAAAAGTGCTACACCAATAAAACTGAATCGAAGTGAATAGAACAGGAGAGCATGTGCATCTGTCGTATGACAAATGTGCAAGAGTAGGGTATTCAACCCTAATGTTCACTCTGGCTCTGAGCAGTCTGCCTTCAAGTCCACACATGAGTCGAATGCAGCAATTTCTATACTTCTGTACCTGATCTGCAGTGTAGTGGGGCTTCTGGCGCATAAGTGCCAATGTGTGTCACCCAGGTGTGCAGGTGTGAGTGTGGGCTGCACTTCAGTGGCGGGCGAAGTGGATACCCTTTGCATGCCCAACAACATCTACTCTCTCTTTAGGCCATTTACAAGATGGTCTCCTCTGTGATGAAGATGCCAGAGGATGAATCAACGCCAGAGAAACGCACAGACAAAATCTTCCGCCAGATGGATCTGAACAATGATGGTGAGTGACGGCTGCTGAGGACCAAAGCTGAGAATCTTGGGCCCCACAGCCAAAACTGGCCAAGATGTTGCTGCCAGCCCCCGTCAGGCTTTCATGATCAGACGCTGTAAACTGGGCAAAACTAAAATGAAGATGCTGTTGTTGTTCTTTTAATAAAAGCACAGTGTTGCTTGAAAACAAACTAAGAGTTAATTCTGAGATGGCAAAGAAGTGGAGCAAATTGTGAACGCTGGCAAAAAAATGTAGCCCTGTCTGGGATTGACCTACTGTAGAGCTTTAAAACACATGGGCAGATTGTCTCTGAGAAATTGAAGCCATGTGAAACTTGGACCAAAGTTTCTCCTGTGTAGCTTATTGGCTTGACCAGCCTACAGGGGCGATGATCAGAAGATATCGCCTTTCCGGAGAGACAGACTGTTGGCCTCAGCCTGGTTTTCCTTTGGGTGAGAATCAGTTAGCTGTAAACAAAGAACGGAAGCTCTTCACCCCAGGGATATAATTATTGTTAAACGTTACCAATGATTCAGTTTCAACCCTCTCTCTTCTCTCCAGGCAAGCTGTCCCTAGAGGAGTTCATCAAAGGTGCCAAAAGTGACCCTTCCATCGTCCGGCTACTACAGTGTGACCCCAGCAGCGCATCGCAGTTCTGAGGTCCCTCCCCACATCAGACCCCCCCCCCCAGAAAACACACAATGCATGAAGATTCCTGTCTTTTTTGTGTACCAAAGGGAAGAATTTTTAAGAAATCATTTTAAGAACAACGTTTTAAAAGCGTCCAAGACTGTATCCATCAGCTTCACCTGCGCCTGCTGGAGGAAGCTGGCTGATGCCCCGGTGAGAAGGCACCATTCAGGAATTTCTAGGGGAATTAAGCTGTCACCTCTGAAAGAGAAACCTCTGGAGGGAATATTTATTCTGGGAGTTGCACATGGTCACTACTCTTCATTTGTCTGAGTCCCGAAGACCACAGTTTTTCTTTTCACTTTTTTGTATGTATAAATATGTGTGTTTAGTTGGACTTTCGTTTGACCTAGTGTGTAGACACCAGTACTGTGTAGACTGGGACAGGATCGGGAAACAGTTCTTGCTACCGGTGGAGCTGAGGATCTGGGAAAAAAAAGAAAAAAGATTGAGGATTCAGTTGGGCTTTTTCCTTTTTAGAGTTTTTTTTTCCAAGTTGTTTCCCATTGAAAAGGTTCATGTTGGCCTTGGAGAAAATGGACTTCATGACTCTGGGAGGAGGCCAGGTGGGACCACAGCTTTTTCCACAACAGGTTCAGGGAAAGACTTGCTGGGGATGGATTTTTGTAACGTTGATAAAGTAGGACCTGCTTGCACACGCAATGCTTCTGTGTGCGTTGTTGGCTTACACAGTGTTACCCCTCTCTCTGTTGTATTTATATGAGTAACCAAAAGTCTGCTAAATTTGAAATCATTGTGACTTTCTGTGCAGTGGTGTCCTAGCCTGCATGGTACATAACAGTATATGAAAAAAATGTACGTCTGTGATTAGAAAACTCGGCTGATCAAGAATTATGAGAATGTATGACTCTAAATGTTGTGGTTTACACGTTCCTCATCATGTAGACCTCGTTTTCAAAACCACACCTGCAGTTCATTGTTCATTTCCAAGAGACTGCATCCGTGCAACCGACGCTTGCATCTGGATATACATGTGACTCTCGTGTGTCTCTATATCTATCCGCTAATGCACAGAGGCTGCCTTCACAGGCGCATCATACAGTATGCATGACTGCAGTCAATCGCCAGTGTAATGCGTCACGTGTCCACTAGGCGGCAACAGAGTCTCGCAGTCTTGCTACGGAAGTGCATGCACGCACGTGGAGCACCAAATAGATCCGAAAGTTACCTACGGAGCGTCGCGTTAGAGCTTATATACTGTCTGCTCGTCTGGAAGGCAAACATCGGCGGAGCGGAATGGGGGTTGTGTGTACCTCCACTCCGATTCAAGGGCGTGCTGGTTTGGAAATTGGCCAGGCTCTGCATCCTTTACAACATCGCTAGCCCCGTCGCCCGCCTTTAAAGAGTAACGTGTTGGGGAAAACAACAGAAATTCAGATTCATTCGATTTTAGAACTAGTGTCTGCGGTGTATTAAGACATGCAGATTTCCTACCGATACATCCCACACATGCTGCATTAAAAAAAAAAAAAACTGTCCATAACAAAATTTGCTGCGGGGAGACCTGAAGCTGAGTTTCCAGTGCAGTGCAGGATCCCCTTTAGGCTAATGTTAGGGGTGTCTGTACTCGTCCGTGCCTCCGTTGAGGACCGAGAAAGGAAAAACACTCTATAACCTGTCTGTGTACGATCGACAATGTTGCTCAATTTCAAGGGATGGTAACAAAACTTTTAAAAACGACACTTTGTATGTTGATGGTCAATCAGTTTAGTTTTCTCCCTTTCCGACAAAGAGAGGTGAGAGGTGCACACGTACCCCAGTTCGCCCAGTACACTTTCAGGCCAAACTCACTCCTCTGTTTCAGGTGCTAAACCGGCCGGAAAAGAATTTGTCGCGTCATCACCTGCCAGCCGGACCAGACTGCTGTCTGAGCCGAATGCGCCTGGCGTCTCTTGCAAACTCAGCATCATTGCACGTTTTTCTGCTGGCGTGAGTTCTTGTTGCAAAATCAGAAACGAACACAAGCATATCTGGTAAGCGAGTGCTGAAGGAGAGATTTGCAGAAATAAATGTTTACTATATTTGTATTTCTAAATATATTCCTATATTCCATACGATTCTTGCATGTGGGCTTCTGTAACAGTGCACATGGAGTTCTGTTTGGTGTACTGCATGTCACAAGTCTCTGACCTTGGAAATGAGATATAAACTCAACGTTTCTTCGGAACAGTGTCACGTCTCTGTGTGGGACTGCCCTCAGTCGGCTCGGCCAGGAGCAGAAAAGGAAGGGAGAGGGGAAAAGGTTTGGGAAAGGTTCCCCTGTCCTCGTGGACGTTCATGTCCTAAACCAGTTTTAGCTCAATGACGTTCATTGCTAACTAGCCTCACTGTAAGACAGCTTTGTATAATGTGATACACCATGCTTGAAAGGTAAATGTTTCCCCTAATTCATACAAGACCGATTGGAAGGGATGACTGGGTGACACAGCTGTTAGCGCTGTTTCCCAGTTGGCCTGGGGTCCTGAGGTCTGGACTGGGATCCTTCTGGGTGTTTTCCCAATGGGTATGCTGGGTATTTCCCTTTTCACCCCGCATTCCCATTGTGGACACCCAGAGTGTCTGCAGCCCGGGCAGGAATAAGGGGCTTTGTGATACAGATTTAACTGACGGGAGTATCCTGGCCAACCAGCTCCTGGCTGAAACAGTGTGAGAGAGGTCGTTGTGATTGAAAACCCACCGTCGGCTGATTCGGGAATTGCGAAGCAAGGTGTTCATCTCATTTGTGCCGTGGTTTTGTCAGAAAATCGCTGTATCCCAGAGTGGCACCAAATTTAAAGTGAATCTGAAAATTGTGATGATTCCTGTTTCTTACTTCTGAAGGTGTTTCCTAAAGTATAAATCAAGTCCAAAAGCACCTTAAAACTTCACAAAGGAATTTTAAAGGAGGTGTGAAATGGAATTTGAATGGCAAATCTAAGCACATTTTTTTTCCCCAAAACCAAATCCTTTATTCTGGGACTTCCCAAGTTCTTGTTTTTGAACAAGTCGACCACGGCCTGTTTCAGGTCCTCAGTCAAGCACTGGGAGCTCCAGAAACTCCTCGCCCACGCACACGCTTGCACATCGCTGCCAAGGCCGTGTCAGTGTGCTCGGGTATAAACTGCTGTTGATTTATCACGCTAGATGAAATCCTAACCAGCGTGGCACATGGCCATACAAGAGTGCAGGCGGGACAGGCTCTCGAGTGAGGAGAGAAAGATCTGTGGCCAACATTCACCCAGACACAACCCTGCAGCTGAAGTTACACAGACAGAGCTCCTCCTATGAAAGACGTGTGGCCCCAGTGCTGAACATCCACCATATCCGCATTTTCCCTTGAATTCCGGTGTCTCAAATGAGCTTATTTTGTGCTCATTTAAATCAGCAGTCACCCTCACTGTAAGAGCGTGACTGAGCTCAAATAACCTGTGAATGCAGAGTCCAAATGACCCGCAGGGAAGCAGATCCAGCTGGCAGGCCTCGTTCAGCGGTTTTCTCATCGCTCTTTTAAGCTCTGTTGATCCCTGGGATCTTTTCCACCACTGGCTGAACAGGCTTCTCAAGTACGACTGCCGGCGCCTTTATGCCCCCGAGTCAATGGCTGTAAAAGGACGGGATCCGTTTGGCGGAGTCTAGCGGCAGTCTGGGAGTGTCTGTTCGCTGGCTGCGCTGGGCGGGGGACAGTGCAGTTTCTCTCAGCAGGCCATGCCAGTCCACGAGGTTCATTAACACCGTGTGACGCAGCTGCATGAGGACACTAGCAGAGGCACCTGCCCGAAGGCCACAGACGTCAGTTTAACCTTCCTGTTTGCACACTGGTAGACATTCACTGGTTCAGCCACCAAGGGGATGGATCAATGGACTGTAAAATAGCTGAAAACGTTCACCTTCGGTGGATCTTCCACATATCCAAGCTTTAGGGCCACAGTACAACCAGTCAAGAGAAAGGGGAGAAGGTAATATGCCTACAACATCATTCATTCCTCAATAAGGACAAAGGTTTCAAGCTGAATTCGGAGCCAAACACAACACACATGGTTATTGGTTATTGTTATTGTTTCCTCCAAGGGTAATAAAGAAAATCCACACTTCGCATATTTTTAAACAGTGCTATTTACTGTAGCTTTTTTTTAAAGAAAAGACAGTATAGCCAAGAAAAGGTACAAACAACAAAAACAAAAAGCCCCTCACGGTTCCGAATATGACGATTAAATCCAAAGTGACTCTTTCATCAGAGTTTGACTGTCTCCACTATGACCACAGTACAGCTCGGTGCAGTCGCCTTTCCAAACACAGCCCTCGCACTTCCTCACCTGTCCAGCAGAGGGAGACATTAGGCCATCCTTCTATGTAACAGCACAGGGGGAAGCCTGGCTCGGGCCGTCTCAAGTTACCTGCTCTGCCTCACCCGCATTCATAGTCATGATTTAATCAGCTCTGTCAGATTAAGAAAAGATACAACATCTGCCCGAGTTCAGCCCGGCTATGCAAGAGGCAGGAGGAGTCAGTCCTTACAGACAGAGCCCGGCTGTCTATGTTGTTCCTGCTGTGGTTTTGCCATGGGCCTGTGTGCGAGACTGGCTGAGGGGTCCTGTTCTGGTCTTCCAGCCTGTGGTGGTGTCAGAGCCAGGTGTTCCTGGTGGGGTCCTGACTGAGCAGACCGCTCTCTTCCGGCGGCTCGCTCGGCTCCCCAGGCTGCTCTGCTGTCGGACTGTCCACCCTCAGCACTCGCTCCTGAAACACAAGGGCAGCGCGTTTGCGTCTGTCTAGTCGGGCTCTGCCACGCACAGCCACCCCAGCCCTGTAGGGGTCAGGAGTGTTAACGAGCAGAGACCTGGAGAGCACGTTAACTCAGCCAAAGACCGGCTCAAGAGCCAGTCACCTGCACCAGGGGTTCTAGGATCAACACCACAGACCCCTGAATACAGTGCCCCCATGCCACAGCAACCACAGACACAGTTTTCAGTGAAAAATTAAAAAGCATGCAGTAAACACGTTAATGAGGGGATTGATTTTTCCTCTAGTATTCTGTGTCCTGAGAGCCACAGAAAAGGTCTCTGTCACACTGGCAAAATTGAGTTTTGCTTTGGATCCATTAAGTATGGAAGACATCCGCTTTCTTTCAAAAAGCCTCTAATTTAATTGTAGACAAATCAAAGAGACTCAGTCGGGGGTGAAATGCAATTACCATCTGCCCCCTCTGCGGTTTCCATTAGCCCTGGTCAAATAATGAAAAGGTAGGTTTCACCTTTCTGGTAATCTGTGCTTTAAAATAGCATGCACAGGCACAGGGGGTCGGTGTCTGTGAGGGAAGGCAGAGAGTGAAGGACTACCGCATTGCATTTTGATCTTGGGTTTTACCATCCAAAATTTCTTAAATCAACATCAGGAGCTGTACAGTTCAAGTGTGCAATTCTATTTTAAACCTTGTGATGAAAATCGTAAAGAACACATCTTTTCATCTGCTTCATCAGTATGATCAGTACAATTGCAACTTGCAAAACCTGGAATGGATCGGACTGCTGTGCATTGAGAGTCCGATTTCCCTTCTGGATGGAAGTCCAGCTCCAGGAAAGGAGCTGCGGAGGAGACTGCGGAGCTGCCGGGGTGAGAGCCAAGCCACGCTGTCCTCACCTGCCTGATCCGGACTCGCTTCCTCTTCCTGGGTCTGCAGCACGCTCCCAGGATCCTGAGACACGCGTGGAAGCTTCTCCCCGAAAACACGCTGGCCACTGCACACATGAATATCAGGAGAACCCACAGAGTGATGGTTGTGCTCTGCAGGTGATAAAACGCACAGAATTAGGGGGGGGCTGGACTGGATCCCCGAATCGATCCCACTCCACTGCTAAAAAAAAAATCTTCAGGCCAGTCCCCTTTCCAGGCCTGAACAGTAGCTCTTATTCCTACGAAGACACACTTTGAAATGAATTAACTAGAATGAACCATGCCAAACATCCCAATTACATTTCCCACAGCTGTGTTTCAATTAGCAAATGAGAAACTGTAACAGCAGGCGCTGGAGTGGGGAAGCAGGATTACCCGTCTCACCAGCTCTCCTCAGCGCCTCAGTCCTGCCCTGTTTAAAATGACCCCGTGCCAGCCTGGGAGAGCTGGGGGGGCCGTACTCACGTAGATGCGCGTGGGGTCGAAGGGGCACTCGTCCGTGATGGTGTAGTAGCTCAGGGGGCTGGTGATGTTGCAGTGCGTCAGCAGGCCGTACCCGTCGTTCGCGACGGCCGTGACCACAGACAGGGTGAGCCCCACCACAGAGGCAAAGGCCAGCAAAGTGTTGATGGCGCTGAGCGCCAGCAGAGCCCACGCCTGACAGGGAGGGAGTCGAGAAACCGCAGACATGTCACATGGCACGAGCAAGAGCAGGCAACAACGGGATGCAGGACTCTGGATGACAAATGTTATTACACAGTAACTACTGATGAGTCTGCAGTGTCTGAAGACACTCCCTTGAATAAGGCGTGGCCAGGGATGTGCTGTGTGTTTTTTAATCCATTCACAGCATCGCGAAGAAATCTAGACCTTCGAATGCAAAATAATATAATGTAGGGAAGCATTATAGAAAACCGGTTTCTGAATTTTGAAGAATGTAACCTTGGAAAGTGTATATCTGGGAAGAAGGTGTATGAATATCGTTAAGAAATGATGAAGTCTGACAAGAAGGAGACCTGCCTGAAGCCACTATCGTACGTCTGAATTTGTCCAAAAATTACAGGACGGGCAGGTTTCTCCGTGACTCACAGAACAGAGGAAAAACACAGCAACCAACATGCAACACACTAAGGGAGAGAAGCTTCTTTTCACAAAGCATGACTGCCGGGTCCCGCCCTGTTTTCAGACAGAGAGGAGACACAGGGACTGGGCTCAGGAGCCTGAGCAAGTTGTGGCAAACAGCACAAGTCTGAGCACAGGCCAGGAACAGGATTCTGAGAACAGGGCCTGTGCTGTCGCCACAGCCCTCCTGTCATGGGCTGGGGGGTGGGTGGGTGGAATTCCACAGTCCTTATTTACTGTCAGAATCACAGACTGCTGCTGCACTGAGCCCTGGGATGTGAGGCATCTCAGCACAAAGTAACTGGGGGACAGATGAAAAGTTTGCAAAGGGAACTTAAGAAGAGCTGTTTGTGGGTGTTGTGAAGGGATATTTTAACACCCAAAACAAACAGCTTCCTTGTCTGACTGGTAATTTCACAGATAAGACAAAGATTTTTCTCTATCATGTACAGTAAATTAGAAAAGCAGACATACATTGTGCAGCTTCACACTGTACATATATAGGATAAATGAAACAGGCTCCCTATCTGTACTGAATTATTAAAGCAACACTTTAACTCTATACATTGCAATGAAGGAATGGATACGTAGTGCAGGAATGGTCCAGCGATTACTGGTGCAGTGTGAAACGAACAGACCATGCAGTAACGCGTCAGTGACAGAGGCAGTCCGCAGACTGGGATATCTGCAGGGAGGAGTGACAACACACCAGATTCTTCTTCTTCTTCTTCCGGGACAGGATGATAGCTAAAATTCCAGTGACGACGCCCTGTCAACACACAGTACAGACAAATCACACTCAAAATTGGATACCAGGCCAGTCAGAGTACTCTGTTTTAAAGCTTGACTTCAGACTTGCGTTTTAAGGGTGCTGCCATCTTTAAACCTTTAACTACGCCTTCACACTGCTGGGGGCCACTTTCACAGTTAAGAGCTGGTGGGTTGGGAACAGTTACCTTTGCTTTTGACAATTAGAAAGACTAGTCAGCAAAACACAACTGAACTCCACACTTGCATTGGTGGCTTTGCATTGAGTAAAGACACAAGATTCTGGGTTTTAGATGTACTAGTCCTCAACTAGACATCAGGTAACAATATAAAGGTGCCTGTATCAAACATTCTTTGTGCAGACCTGAATTTTTCAATTCCTTTTGATTCTCCAGGACAAAACAACAAACACCAGATACAAACACTTGCTATATAAAATATTCTACTGCAATTAATCTACAGCCCCAGGTAGTGCAGTTAAGTTTAGAAGTGCAGTCTTAAGAGAATTGTACAGAGCCGTGCCTGGAGGGTTCCAGCTCAATCGTTTAATTAAAAGTTCATGCTCTTTTCCAAAACAAGACTCCTGCTGGTGCTCTTTTGAAGTCACAGCAGGAATTTATCTTGTTTCATTTAGATATATTTCACTGGATGTTTGCTGATCCAAAGACATTCTCCCACATAAAACCCTGGAAGCACAGAATACACAAACTACACACACATACGCAAACATCTTCATGGACAATTTAGAGACCTCATTTAACCTAAACATACAGAGTAACTAAACCAGTCAGACTGCGCAAGCATCACCAAACATTTTTTAACACTTCCCCCTCGTAAAAAATGTGAACGCAAGAACTTTTCTTCTTAAGCTTCTGCTTCCAGGATTTTAGAGTTTACATGTTTCTCCCAATCCCAATCCCATCTCTCCTAACCGCCCCAGGGAGAGAGAGCAAGTCTTACTGCCAGCCCGCACACGAGCGCGATGACGTTGGAGACGGCGTACTCCATAGACCGGGCCTGCTTGTGCACCATGATGTGCCGCAGGACAGCGCCGTGCACCAGCGCCCCCAGCAGGAAGTTGATGTGCCCAATGAGGACCATGCCCAGCCCCATCTTCATCAGGGACTTATCTTCCTCCAGGTCAGCGCAACACACTCCTGTCAGGGACAGAGGCAGCATCACTGGGCAAGCTCTCAGGTCAGCAGGCCTGGTGAAACAGAAGCCACTCTGACCTGCAGGATGCTACATTAGTTGTGCGTGCTACACCCTTTCACCTTTGCAATATGACCTTTGAGAGTGGATTCTGGCTGAGAGGCGTTCTGTCCTAATTCTGCAGATGGTAGCTTCGTCCCACTGGCTTCTCAGCCAAGCACAGACACCAGATGCGTGAACCTGTGGTTTCTCTCGTACCGAGCAGGATTATTATTGCAACAGCACGCCAGCAGGCAAGACAGACCTGTCTCACGATGGTCTAAACCTGGCTCATGTTCCCTATTAGTGGACAAACAGCCTAACGCCTGGTGAGTTCTGCTTCATGGCGACAGGTTCACCCGACATCGAAGGATTAAAAAGGATTGATTTGAACCCCTGACTGCCAGCAGGCTGAGTTTGAGCCTGTATTGGTACAGTAGCATGGAAGGTTCTTCTACACAAGCAGGCCATCATGGGCACAGTCACAGAGAGCCACTGCAGCTCCTGTTGGCTTACATCTTCGCTCCCCGTGGTCCTGCTAGTGAAGATGTATACAATCTCAAACTCCTGGCTGGATGGTGTTCACTTTCAGGTGGTTGGAAAAACCCCACTCACTTTATCACTGTTTCACCTGCCTGACCTGGTGTAGGAGTACCACAGAGATTTGCTGGGCTCCACAGGATTAACCTGCGATAAGCCTGCAGTGTCAGATTTCAGGAGCCCAGCCAGACACCTCCAGGTATCCTGGGGGTCTTAACGTTATCTGCCCACATCCCATACGGCATTCCAGCTCCGAGACAAAACATTCCGCTTTCCAAAACTCCACCTAGCGACAGTGGGACTTCTACTGCTCCACCCATGAAGAGAAAACCGTACGTTTAAAGCACAAATGTCGAGAGCTGACACAGCAAAGATACTTTTTAAGCTTTCTTGAATTAAAAGGGCCTGACTTCAGATTCCCCTTGCACAATCAGAGGTAACAATACATGTACATTATGAGCATCAACCACGTGCCCACACTAGTATAACTGTAGAAGGGCCAGTGTGAAGTGTTAGGAACTAATCTATTATATTTACCGATCAATTCTACTTGATTCATTGTCATGTTCAAAAAGCTAAAAAGTTACCTTCTGTTGTCCAAAATACAAAATAATTAACTGTGAGATTGAAACAAAATGGCTGAATTTTCATTAGAACAATTAATTGAGTTTCTATGCAAAGAAGGAAAAACACTGAAAACAGCAGGGCAATGTAGCATGTCAAGACTTCTGCGCAGTTGTTTGTGCGGAGAATTTAGATCGAGCCCCGAGAAACGCTGTTTAAAAAGATTTGTTTCAATTTGACTAACACAGGGAAGGCAGGGATAGAGGTTGTTGAACCGGTTACTGGTAACCTGACCGAACTGGATACAAACCAAGATGTAAAAAGTGCAAAACTTCCACGGATCGAGAGTCACACTTCACACTCTCCACCGTCAAGGAGCTGCTTCATAACACAGAACCTTTCCCCCCTACATCTTACAGCACGTTAGGAATAAAAGACACTTACCCAAGTTGACCATTTTTAAAAGGTTTCAAGTTCAGGTCATCGCAAACACTCAGTTTTTATTCTCTTTTGTTCTTCTCTCAGCCTCTTCCTTCTTCCACGGCTCCCGAACTCCTCCCCCTTTCAGGAAATATACAGGTGCACAGTCTTCTGCAGAAACAAAAGCCACTCCCTGCCCATGAGCCCTCTCCCTTAAAGAGACAGGAGCCCCTTCTCTAGTGACGGCGCTCGTCCTCGGTCTCGGATGTCCCAACGCTTTGGATGGAGACAGACAGGTGTGAGCCATGATAATGTCTCTGCAGGTGCACAGCAGATTCTGTCAGTGGAGTCCCACCATCACTAAATCAGACGTGATTTAATACTGCACCTTTAATAAAGATCTCACCGCATCAAACTGCGAAGTTAACAAGAGTATAATCCAAGTTCTGAAGACCTGGGTTTATTAGCCGCGCAGCACAAATCACTGGAAATGAAATGGACTTGAAAAAAATACTGTTGGCACCATTCACCTCATACGAGAGGATTCACGGACGTGTACACGAAAACTAACAATCAATATTCATTTATTTTTTAACTGCCCCAGTAAAATACCTAGCTCTTTAAGCGGGTACAGAATTAAAATGCGTTGGATAGAAGTGTCAGCGACATAAATACCCTGTCATAAATATCAGCGACCTGTTTTTCCGTACATTTCATTGACCTGATAGTGCGCTTATGAGTTGTGCATCGCAGAGGATGGTTTTGATCCATCAGCCTCTGGGTTATGGGCCCAGCAGGCTTCCACGGCGCCACTCTGCTGTTCGGTTTTTCCAAAAACACAAACCACAGCCAGAGAAGGTTTCCGCGGAAAGGAAAATGTGGCACTGCAGGATTAGAGCTGGGAAACCCCAAACCTGTAACTCCTGCAGGATGTGGCTCCCCAGGACTCCGGGACTCCAGGAACCCCGGTTTAAGATGATCCGTTTAAAACAGAACCTCGACCCCGACACGCGTCGAGAATTTCAAGCCCCCAGTCAGATAGTCTGAGGTTTTGAGTAACGGCTCGATCAACGAGCACCTCTTCCTTTCACTTACTCGCAATGGTTCATTTAGGCCACTAGAGGGAGCCGCATAGCCGCATAACAAAGCTATTGCATTTTAGCTAAAGATACATTATCTCAACAATAACGCACACTGGTGTACATTCATTCATTTCATTGTGCGCTTTTGTACGCTTTGTACCTTTAAATCCTCGTATTTTATGTCTTTTTTATAAATCGTATAAGTATATAATACATATTTTATAAGTATTTTAAATTAATAACAGGAAAAAGCACAAAAAGCCACTAATGTGGGTTCTTCTAATGTGGTTTGGAATACATAACGTCCTCACGTCACTAAAGCCCATTCTTAATCGCAAGTACCTGTCTTTTATATCTCTCACGGCTGAGGCCCGGGGAAACATGGTAATGTGACCAAATTAGCACATTATTAGTTGAATGAATTAACTTGAGAAGAGAGGCTGGAATTAAAACCCAAAGCATTTTCCGAGGACGAACTTTGAGCAAAGTCCTGGGACTTCATTCATTATCGCTGTCCCTGGGTATTAACTGCTTCATCTGTTTTCAACAGCTTTAACTTGCGCGTTACAGCTGGTGTTAACTCTGTCTATTGGAAGCAGGCGTGTTGTCCACCATAGTGAATAGCGTCCTAATTAAGCCTAGGGACGCCCTGGGAACTCAATAAATACCCTGACCACGCAACTCCGAGTCCTACAGCTTTGACGATATTACGAATGAACAGAATGAAAAAGCGAGTAAATAGTCTTTCTGGCCTGTTTTTGTAGAGTAATTGTGATTTCTCGTTATTTCACTCGCTAGTCCTTGTGAAGATGGGGTTACTGCTGTTCCTCGCCTCTCTCTTCATTGCGGCGTCTTTCCGTTCGTGGACGTCGGCTAGAAGTATTGGACCACGGGGAGAAAACTCAAAGCCGCCGCCCAACATCATACAGACCATCTGGCTGGTCGGTCCCCCCCTCTCGGAGGACCCTGCCGGCGAGGATGGCCTCTATCCTCCTCTATATAACCGGCCAAAGCCTCCTGTGAAGTCAACGTCTCGTAGTTCACCTTCCTTCGGTCCCTTCGAGGGTGACCTGCGGGCCAAGAAACAGCAGCCACCTACCGCGCAGCTGAAAGACGCGAAAACGGTCCCCGAGTCTCCCGCAAAAAGCTCCAGGTCCCGGCCGTTCGCGGATGGGCGTCGCCCTGGGATCTCTGGGCCAGGCGCGATCCCCCGGGAGCAAGTCGCGGTGTGGTGCGGCGGGGGCAGGCTGTTCCTCAGTGTGAAGAGCAAGGTGAACGGAGTGCAGCTGAAGCCCGGGGAGCTGACGCTGGGAACCGGCTGCAAGAGCACCGGCGCCTCGGGAGACCGGCTGCTCTTCGACTACGGGCTGGGCGAGTGCGGGACCAGGCGGTCGGTGCGTGAGCAGTAGGTCGATGGGCAGTAGGACTCAAGGGGGTAGCTCTCTGCTGGATCTGGCGTTTCTGTTCTAATCATTCTAAGGGGTTGGCTTTTTTTGTTTGGTTTTTGGAGACGCTTAACTTCTATTCCTCTCCCATCGTTTTTTCTTCCGAAACGATCACGCGTTTGGTTGATGATGCTGCTTCTCTCTGCTCTGCTCTGCAAGACTCAGCAGGGCCAGATGGTCTGCAGGAACGTCCTTCGCTATGTTCCCTCTGCTGGGAAGCTTCCCATTCGGAGATCCAGCCCCTTCAACGTCCCTGTGAAATGTGCTTTAAAAAGGTAAGTTTATAGTGGAGCCTCTAGATTGCCTCTCTGGCTGAACCCTTTATGGCCTGTCAAGTCAGAAATGCTTACTGGTGACCACTGTTCACCTCGGGCTCAGTTCCCAGAGAGCCGCTTCAGTTCTGCAATCCTTCAGACTTTTTTTTTTTTTTTTTTTTTTTTTTAGCTGGTCTTTAGCTAACTGATGTGCTGTATGATTATAGAGCTGCTGTACAAAAAAGTGCTTAAAATGCAATTTAACATCTTTACTGCCCTTAACTTGCCTCCTGTGACTTCTCAGGTTCCAGCAGAGCAGCTGGGCTCGGTTTCCCTTCATGCACAGCGGTCCTCTCTTGGAGAGCAGGAACAGCTATGGCTGGGCTCTGAGGGCCATGGATGGTAATAACCGATCAATACTGTACATGCTGAAAACTCCCCATAGCCTCCCCTGCTTTCTCACGACGCGTTTAAGTAGTGCTTGACAAGGGACAAGCGGCGAAGCTAGGAGCCCTCGTGTCTAATGGTCTTTTCTCTCCCAACCGACAGGTGCTTGGAAAGGCGTTGCCAAGTCCAACGTGTACAGTCCTGGGCAGCCCATACGCTTCCAGGCCTCGGCCACGCTCCGCTCGAAGGCACAGCGACTGTCGGTCCAGTCCTGTTATGCAACGTCCCTGCCGGGTTGGCACACGAGACCCAGATATAAAGTGATAGTTAAAAAAGGGTGTGTTGGCTGTTCAGGGACTGGGTTTGGGGGGGTAAATGGGTCGTGTATGTGGAGAATTACTTCCTTCTAGCAATTCTGATGTTGAGAGAAATTTAAGCAGGGGGGCAATTGCAGTCATGAGACCCACGATTTCTCATCCCTCCTTGTAAAACCTGCTAGGTGGTCTGCCAGGACAAGAGCTGTAGGCATTGTCCATTCAGAAGGTCTAGTTGCACCAGGGTTCTTCAGCTTCTCCCCCCATTCTCTACAGGTGTGTAGCTAGAAAGGCCTCTGAGGAGCTGCGGGCCAGGTTTGTCTCTACTAGAGCAAGAGATACGGTCAACTTTGTCATCGATGCTTTCAGGTTGAGCTCTTCAAAGGTAAGTTCCAGTATAGAATCTTGCATTGCATGCATTATTTCCTTGATCTCATTTTATATTGGTTTTGCACAGAATGAGCATATTCCTTCTCCTCTGCAGATTTATATGCACTGTGTCCTGGCTGTAGTGAATGACAAAATAACAGAAGGCAACAAGTTGTGCAACTATAATCCAGCCCGAAAGAGGCAAGTTGTTGATTTTTAAGCAAATTGGTTCAGATTTTCCTGGACTAGTGTCGCCCATCTGTGTTTTAGTTGTGCTTTAAGATGTGGGTCTCCTTACTGCTATACTAACCCAGTTGAGCTTTGGGGAATTAAAGGTTACATGAATCAAGGGCCCTAACCTCTCTGTGTTATTGTGTACCTGTATTGCAGATGGGATGAGCTTAATGGTGGCCATGCAGCCTGTAAGTGCTGCAGGGGAAAATGCAGAGATGCAGTTCTGAGATCCTTGCCAAAAGGTAAGCCTGAGCAAAACTGTGTATTCACTTGGTTTTTAACACCTTGTGTTTGTTGCAATAACTGTCCAATCTGCTTTACCTAGACACCAGATCCACAGTCAGTACTGGGCCTCTAGTGATTGTAGGCCACCCTGCCACTTCCACAAAGGCCAAATGGGATACCAAGCCTTCATGGCATCGGAGAGATAGTGCAGGCATCTATACCCCTGCAGAGGCATGGTCCCTGGGGCAGAAGGAGAGGGGCAATGGGGCAAGGTTGCACCAAGACTTTGAAGAGGCTGGTTGGAGCCCACTGACTTGGGGAGAGAAGCTTTCTGTGCCCGACAATGAGCTTCCTTTTGAGGATGGTGGAAACCTGTACAATAAAATCCTTTTTATGGGAGAACTGAATGACCCTTTTGAAAACCTGGGTAAAGTCCAAGTGCAGGGGACTGAGAGCATGGAGGGGTTTCAGCAGGATTGGAGCCTGTTTTCCCCAGAAGGCAAACTGGACGAGAGAGACCTCCTGCAGCAAGAGTGGAACCTGCCTTTGGAAATGGAAAAGGAGCTTGAGGATGTGACCTCGCTCGTGGTGGATCGTGAACGTGACTGGAATTCTGTCGGAGATACTCCTGGCCATTTGGAGTGGCTTCCAGGGGATGAGCCGAAGTGGGAAGAGCATCCCGATTTGGAGCTGGACTTCGTGTTGTCTTTGCCGGTACAGAGTGATGCTCCAGAGAGCTTTGGGACTCTGTTTCCACATTCAAGCCCAGAAGGGTTTTTTAAAGCCTGGGCTCAGGTGCCAAGTGACTACGAGAGGCATGACCGCAAAAGGGTTGGGGACTCGAAATGGGGTTTGGATGTGTTTGAGAAACCAAGTAATCCTCCAGTCGTTGATGTGGCATTCCTGTTTCCCAGTAGAAAGGAAATCCAATCTGCAAATGGAGTTAACCTTGATTCCACTTTCAAAGGAAGAAGGCAGGGTGTGAAGCCAAGGATGCCCAAACTAGAAACTCCAAAGATGAACAAGTACTTGGCTCTTAAGGATGGACCTGCACAACCTCTGCCTTCAAAGCAGAATGATAAGCTAGGATATGAGTCATTGGTGATGTGGAGCACTGAATGGCTGGGAATAGAATCTCAGGAACTTAAGAGCCCTTCTCCACAACGGAAGGCCATCTCTTGCAAGAACCAGAACATCAATTCTAATGTGCCAGGAGTTTTCCTCTCTCGCTATGTGCGGACTCTGACTCCAGGAAGGGCCAGAAGCCTTCAGTATGAAGTGGTGTTCGAGGAGGACAATGGTGTACCTCCCAAGTGGAGAAGAGTGCACAGGCAGAGTGGGAAGAGCAGGGCACCAAATCTGATGGATCTGCTGGGGTAAGAACTGGCCAAGCTCCAGAAGTACTGGAGCCAACTGATTGTCTTAAACCTCTTACTGAGCTACTAATAGAAGTAGCTCGAGTTTAGTCTTGCACTGAAGCTTTCTCTTTTTTTCTCCCACCCACAGGTTATCCAAGGCAGAGTAGCCAGCTGTTTCCCCTCACTGGTCTGTCTTCTAAAGGGCTCAATGCCTACATTGTACTGTGAAGTAACTTAATAAAAGGAAAACTGTTGAAAGAACAATTCTTGTCCATGGATTGAATCAAGTTGGTATGGAAATTACATTAACAAGATAATTTCAGAACACTTTGAGAGTCAGGATTTTTGGTTTTGCAAAGCAAGATCCAGTTGTTACTGTAGAGGATATGTTGCCACTCTTAACCTGCTCTGGGGTGAAAGAACTTAGGCCTGTGAATCAAGCTCTTAACCTCCATCTTTCCCTTGCCAAGAAAATGGCCCTTTAAGTTGATAGACCTCTGGTGATCTCAACCTCTATGGTTTTCTGATAAGTGAAAGATGGTTTCAGCAGACAATTTCTAGATTTGTGGTCTCTGAAGACCATACATAGCTACTTGTCAGCACTTGGCATTAACAAAGCTCCTGTTAGCTCCTGGGCTGGTGATTCCTTGTTTTCTGTTGGTTACTGAGCCCTTCACTAAAGCAACAGTGTTGTGCAATAAGGAAAATGGTGTTTGCACCAGAACAGTTTCTGCAAGCATGCATAATGGTTCTCGCCCATGCAGTGAATGTTCTTGTGTATAGAATTCTAGCAATTGTAAATGTATTTCGGTTCCTGTGGCTATGCACTGGAATCTGTGCATTTCTTAATATTTGGTGCTCTGGACATTTTTGTCCCTCTGCAATATTTGAGGCTTTTTTTTGTTTAAGGGGAGACTTCACTGCATCAATGTATAGCTTAAATTCTAGCCTAAAACCTTCACCTGCTGCTTATGTTGCTCCTGTAAGTGTATGAATTAACTTCCACCTTCATTTTATCAGTGTTTCTTTGCCATGTTTTAACTTCCCTGGCTTCTCCAGTGGCTCCCTTAACAAAACAGATTTAATCCTCAGTTTTCCAGAAAATGCTATATTTCCTGCTCTCAGGGTTATAATGCCCATGTTCTCTTGCTAGGGTGGATGAAGATTTGATGCTCAACCCTCTTTGCTGACTGAAGCACAGCACGAATGCAGGGTCCAGTCAGGATTGTTTAAACCCAATAACTTAAACCTGGGTTTGCCCTTGTGGAATAGGGTTAACCTGAACTGTTATTGGGTTAGTTCTCTTGGATAATGTGAATAATCTAGGGTTATCTTAAACTGTTTTAGTCCCTCCCCCCCACATCCACTAACATATTTAAAGGTGGCAGGTACCCTTTTCCCTCCAGGAGCAGGATGCCTTATGACTGGCTTATCCACACACACACTCCTCTCCTCTGTGCTATAATTGCTTTTGCTCTTTAAAGGTCCATTTCCATTGTGATGCTTATTATAGCCCCCTTCTGAAATGAAATGGGAGGAAGGCTGGTGCTCCAGCGAGGCTTTGCTGAATCTGCCTCTAGACACCCATTGGCCAACCAAGACTAACAGCTTGAGTGTGATGAGCCATGCAGCTGACAATGAAGGCATGTAATTTATTAAGTTAAGAGCTTTGCACTACTCCCATGAACAGCTCCAAAGGTGTTATGGGAGGAGGAATCTCCCTTACCTCAGAGTGCTGCCATCAATAAATGTGAGGTGGCTTTGAGCCAACATGTCTCCTATTAGATAGATACCTTATTGATCCTGTGAGGGAAATTGCAGTGCAACAGCAGCTTTACACAGACAACACAGTCTAACAAATGATACAATAATAATTATACAATCAGTATAGTGAGGGGAGCACTAAAAGAGTTACTTACAGTCCAGACACATGAAGAACAAACTGGAACAGAACAGTATGCAGAAAAATTGTATCACACATTAATATAAATGTATTGCACAAAAAAGTTATAAACAGGAAAGGAAAGAGAACAGATGTAGCAGTAGATGCATTCAGTCCAGAAACAGGTCACTGTCGCTGTTGCCTCTGTCCAGACGCAAGGTGGATGTGTTGTACAGTCTTATGGCAGAAGGCAAGAATGACCTCCTGTAGCGCTCCCTGTCGCACCATGGATGAATCAGTCTATTGCTGAACGTGCTCTTCATTGCTATTGCTTAAAGTAGAGGTTAAAATGTCTACTCCTACTTGCAGCAGAAGGTTGCAAGTTGTAATAACAGCATGAGAGAACATACCGTCAAGGGCATGATAGGACCAGCCTCTCTCTCTCTAAAAATGTAGGTGGCTGTGACCTTCTTCACTAACCAAATGCAGGAGACCACAACTTTCACCTTAAGAAGTTGATCAGGTTATAGCATGACTGCTTACAGGATTCTTTTAATGCTCAGACCAGCATAACTTCTGTTTAATCTCAATTGATGAGAGAGCAGCAGCCTTACACATCATTTAATGCTTTGCCTTAAAATAAGGAACCACCATCCAAACTAATACTTTTGTCAGTCAAGCAAAAGAGTACCTGAGAAGCAACAGCCCGTGGGTCTGCACTAGGTTAGGTAAGCCTAGTACAGGTGCACATTATATTCCAGTCTGGAAGAAAAGCTCCACCCCCCCCCCCCACCATTGGGCATTTTAGGAGCATGTTATATTTAGACTTTCAGATGAGATTTTTTCCCAATCTCATCTGAAAGATGCAATTCAATTTAAAAGACTACCAGTTTTTTTCTTCTAGGTATTGTTCATACTTCTAGTTAGGAAACTCCGAAGGGAAGCATTCACACATGCAGGACAAAAACATCCCGATTCAAAGTCATCGTTTAGCCCCCAGAAAAGAAAGGCATGGCATTTATTTCGATTCATATAAACGGTTTGCATCATGAGGCTGGAGCAGGCTCATCACGGAGCCCGATAGGGATCCAGGAATTCAGTTTCCCACATCCACAAACTTGTCGCCTTCCTCCTCATCCCCTATGAACCCTTCTTCCTCAGAAACAGAATCCTCCTCCGCCGGAGGCTGGTCGTCATGGGCCAGGGAGATGCTGGCAAAGTGGCTCAGATCGTCCGCCCGACGGATCGCGTCGAGAACGTCGCTGGCGATCACGAAAGCACGGCTGGACCGCACATCTGCAAGTCACAAAAAGCAAAAGTTTAGGCAGAAAGCTCCTCATTTCAGCTGTATGAAGACGTTGAGCAAGTGACGGCTTGAATACGTCATTTAGGTCAAGAGATTTGACAGTTGATCCTGGCGTTACCGCCAGATCTTCGAAGCTCATCACTCATTTTTTTGCATTAGTGCAGTTCCGCAGACTGGAGAACTTACCCACCACCGGGGGCGAGTCCGTCTTGGGGGCAGTGCAGCTCGATTGACAGCACCTGCATGCCGAATTGACAGCGCCCTCCAGTTCCTCCCACCTGCGGCATTGAAATACAGGGAAGGTCATGCAGAGCCGCGCTCCCCCAGCGCCAGTTAGCTGAACAGCCCGTCCTGGCAGCACACCGCGTCGCTTTCACCCAGAACGCTTGTGTGCTGGGATCGGTCACTACAGAATTCCCCAGAAGGGCAAAGCAGACCAGAGCTTCTCATTTCTTCCAGATGCTTCATCTATGTGCCCAGCAAACACTCACCTGGGAGGATTGTGGTGCTGGATCTGAGCCCTGCTTGCTACAATCAGTTGCAGCAAGCATTTAGCATTTCAGCATTTACCCTCATCTATATTGTGGATAATGCCCATCATGGTCTGTAAGCAAAGATTGTCCCATACTCCAGCACGTGGCCTTTACCGTCTCTGTCTTTGGTCATAGGTGCAGGATTTCGCCATCTGGCTGGTTCTGCTGCTGGTAACAAACATGGTGCAGTGAAGAAACATCTGCAGTAGGAGGTGAAAAAGTTCAAAATCAGACGCAAAACATTTTCAACAAGAACAGGAAACTTTAAGATTTCAGATTATTCAAAGTAGCATAAGTGCCAGTTGGCTCATTTTCTTCAAGATAGGCCAAATCTGCAAAGCAACCAAGATCCACAGACCTTAGACAGTGGCTTCTTTTTAAACTGGAAAGCGTCAATGGTGAATTTTATGGTGGAGTCAGTTCTGGGTGGGACAAATTTCGAGATGCTGCCTTTAATCTTGCTGTCCACCATACACCTGAAATCAGAGGGCATTCCCAGGGATTCAGTACGAAGAGGGTTACACAACAGCTGTTCTGCACATCTGGAATCCGAGTTTAAGCATGAAGGTATGCAAAAAAAGCCAATAAGTGTAGAAGAAGCTGTGGACTAATTTGAGTCCAATTTTCTTTCAGCTCTGATGAACCTCCTAGCCCTGGTTTTCAGGACCCACATACTAGCTTATTCCCCACCCCCCAACATCTGCTGAGCTCTTAATTGAACTAAGAAATCACTTCACCTGAATCTCAGCATCTCGTGCAATTTGGAGATTAAAGTTGGTCTTGCAAATAAGGCAACCTCCAACCTCCACAGGAGCTGAACACAAGTATAGTTTAAATGATCTGGCTAATGAACAGCCCTCAGCTCAAACAAAGCAAGCGCCGAGGTGATTTACACTTCTCAAGCCAGCTGTGCTTTACCGATCCCTGTTGCTGCAGTTTCCTCATGAAGGGGGCTTGTAAGGGCTCAGCCAGTGAGCACCTCGCTTTAAAAAAAAAAAATGAAAGAAATCAATCCTCTGAAAGCTCTTCGCAGCTCACACATTACCCGTAGTTCTGAATCACAGAGTAGATGCTCTGGGAGCTGGGGTCTGCGGACAGGGCAGCATGGCAGGATTTGATGTACAGCTTCTTTCCTGCCGCCAGCCGACGCGCAGAGGCCTGGAAGTTAATGGATTCTCCCACATAGAAGATGTTAGAATCCGACTCTGCCATCCAGTCATCTACAGAGAGAGAGAAGAGCCAGTGTTGCTTGACGTACTCCCCGATTTAATCCAACGCTCCATTCTCACACGCCCCAGGCATCGGGCGCCTTCAGTGATCACCGGGATTCACCACCCACCACGCCTAGATTTATAGGTTAGTCCGCTGCAGCAGAACAGCGAGGCATCAAGTCCAGGCTTACTCCACGCTGGGGAAAAACACGCTTCGGCTGCCGAGCTTTCTTCAAGAGTCACCTGAAGAAAGCGCCACAGCTGAAGCTTTGTTTCTTTTCAGCTTGGAATGAGCCTTCACTTGTCTCTCACGCCAGCCTACTGAATAAAGGTTAATTAAAAATTAACGCTATAATGCCAATACAAATGGAGGCTGCGTTGATTACGACCTCAAACATTTGTTATCCGACATGGTTGAGATCAGGAGGTTAGAACTCTTGCAACTTAAGTTAAATGAAGCCAGATCTACATTCAACCAGACTGGTTTTACTACCTAGCAGGCGTCTTGCAGAAAGCCCGGGGACTTACGGCGGTCCTGCTGGACATTGGCAGCTCGGATCCGGGACACTTACCGCTCATGAGCTGCAGCTTGAACCCGCCCTTCTCGTTCTCCAGCGGCTTGAGCAGGGACGGAGGCTGCCAAGTCGGGTGCACCGCAAGCTTGTAGGAATAGTGGTATCTGCGGGGACATCGGCGCTGATGACGTCTCCAGCGCGACCCGGGACGGGCTCGGGAACTACGGTCGTGAGCGCGGAATCGCAAGAGATATCCCGATCCCGCCCCCCAAGGCGCATTTTAAACCCTCTTCTCAGAACATTGCCGCATTTACACTAGGCGATGTATCCTACTTGCACACAGTAAATGGAAACATTTCTTGTGTCGCTGCCTGTTGACTGAATAACCACAGAGACTACGTCAATATTTTATAATGTCTTTGTTGTAAATGTCTGTAGATTTTATTTTACTTCTATTTTTCGTTTTGTTTTTGCTTTGGCAACACTGACTGTACCCATCGGTCATGCTAATAAAGCACCTTGAATTGACTATCACGCCGAACTGCGCGGTATAGAGTAGGCGTGGGCGCTGCTGAAAGACCCTGCTTCTTCGAGGGTTATTTTTAATTCCAATCCGAAAAAAAAAAATCTAAAACTCGGACCCGTCTCACACCGACTACCCTAAACTTAGAGTCACTCATGAAACGCGCAGTCATACCAGTTAGATCAACTGTGGAGCAGAACGCAAGCCGGACGGAGACATCTACCTTTTATACCGGCATTCAACTCCCACGTTAATGGGATGGGATCTCCGGACCGGCCCCGGCTCTTCCGCGGGGATGTAGTGGAGGACATTCCTGTAGACGATGTAACCTATGGGCGTCTGAGGACAGAAGGCATTGGAGCAGGGATTTAGGAAGACGGGAGCCGCCGTGCGGTTCACGCATCGCCTTCACTGCTGACCCGCATGAAGACGCGGGGCAGGTCGGGCGACTCACCCGTTTCTGACTGCCACAGGCTAGCAGGGGGTACCGAAAGAGCAGGTCGCCGGACGGCCGGAGCCTGCCGTTGCTCTTGCATCCGGAGCCCAGCGTCAGCTCGCCGCCTGTCGCCCCGAACCCGTGGAAAGCCGGCCTCACCCTCACGATCATTTTACTGCCCGTGCAGGTGACCGAGACGGCCCGCCGGGGGCCGCTGGGCGGCGCGGGGCGCTTCGGGGGGGCCGGCTTGAGGAGACGCCGGACCTCGCCTGGGAGAGGCGCCCCCGCGCCGTCGAGCAGCTCAGGCGTCAGCGCCTCCAGGGCGGGCGGCTGGTCATCGGGGTTCCCGAATTCGGGCAGCTTTATTCTCGGTCGCTGGATGGACGCGGGCTTCCTGATGGCCCGTGTACCTCTCGGGCTCGACCTAGTACTTCCGCCTGGCTCTCGGAGCTGAGCGGCGGTCAGCCCAAAGAGCCACGAAAGGGCAAGAACAGACAGAGGGAGGCGAGACTTCATTCTTCTCCCAAAAGAAAAAAAAACACCCAAAATGCACAACTTACACGCAGGTTATGCGGCTGCGTTATATAGTCTACATTGTATCGAACGTAACTAGCAGCTCTAGACTCACCATGGATTTAACCAATAGGCTGTACTTGGTGTCTTCATGGTTGTCACCTGGCGCGCCAAGATTAAAGAAAATAATTAAAGTCGACAGTGGGAGGTGGCGCAGCACATGCGTAACTCAGAACGTCCACATCGCAATTGACAGGCTCAATCAATCAATCAATCAATCAATCAACAGGCTCAATCAATCAACGTGCTCTCAAACCCACAGTTACTCTGCCAAACCCCTGGTATGAACTAGTGCTAGATCACTACATTAGCAACGCCAGTGCTGATCGGGCCTCATACAGTTCTGGTGTGATTTTCATGAATCTTCCTCAGACTGTGCAAAATAAGCACCAAATGCCAAGTGATTGATTAAGCCAAATTATGCACAAAAAATGATTAATTAAATGCCTAGGCGTTACAGTCAAGAGATCATAACCCATATGCAACAGTAATTGCTATTTACTCTTTTTTTAGCTGCTAATGGTCATAACACAGCCCGGGCAGACTCATTTGTCCAGGAGGGACATTCAGTTTTCAAGCGATGCGCAATACCGATTCATTGCACTTTTCGTAAATTGCCAATTCTGCACCTGCTCGAACAGGCTGTAATTGGGGGTTAAGTGCCACCAGCTGCAGAGTCGTGACACCGGGTATCAACGGTATAAAGCGCTCGCTCAGAACACGAACAGCCGTTCCTTGGCTTGAACTATAGGTATTAGTTTGGTGTTTAGAGTGATTACCCAATCGCAGTGTTGACGTACAGTTCGCTAGAATGCGGTGGGTTTTTATAGTAGCGGTCACTTTGGTCTCGGTGTTAATTTTATCTGGATGCACTTCGGCTGGGAGGGTGGAAAAGGCGGGCCCGAAAAACGCTGGGGCTGTGGGGGAGACGGAAGAGGACAACTGGCCTCTTGATGTGGACCAGACCGACTTCCACGGGGCTCACCTACCAGCTTCGACGGACAGGAAGAAGAGGGTCTCCGTCCCCAAGCCCCCTCTCTACAAATACGTGCCGATCTCCACCCACTGGCGTGCGCCCGTCATCGTGAAGGAGCGCTTCAAGCCGGTGGCGGGCACCCTGCCTCTGCCTCGGGACATCCAGCGCGTCCTGTTCCCCCCCCGCCGCCGCCCCCCGCCGCTCCGTCCCGCCGCCGCCCGCCCGCGCCCGCCTCCCCGCCAGATCTCGGTGTGGTGCAGCAACAGCAAGATCAACATCCGGGTCCGGAGGGGCCTGTTCGGCCTGAGGTGCCAGTCCGCCGAGCTGACCCTCGGGACCGGCTGCAAGAGCAGCTCCGCCTCGAGCCAGTACTACGACTTCAGCTACGGCCTGCACGAGTGCGGCAGCACGCGATCGGTCGGTGGGCGGCGAGCGCGGTCGTCCTCCGGGGGGGTGGCGGTGGGTGAGAGGGTATGCAATGCGTTTTTATTGCGAGATTTTTTTTTCCCGCATACAGATTCGTAATGGACAACTGACGTACTCCAATGTTCTCCGCTACGCCCCTCCCAAGCCTCAGGGTCCGGTTCACCGCTCCATTCCCTTCGCCATACCCATCCAGTGCCGATTTAACCGGTAGGGGGCGTCTTCTAGAAACTGCTTGAATTGGAGTGGAGTTTCTCCTTTCGTTCTCACTCTTTCCTAATCGCACTCCATATTAGACGGGTTGTACTGGATGAGTTCCTTCCACTTAGTGCTTTTCTGGACACTCCACTCAAAGCTCTTTACAGGTAAAGAGAGGGTGTCCTCTCTACTACTGGTGTGGAGCCCCACCTGGATGATGCACCAGTACACTCCCCACCAAACAGCTTGCAGTGGGGAGGAGTGCAGAGTGATGCCAGTTCAGATTTCTTCTGGGGGGGGTATTAGGAGGCTAGGTGGGAAGTTAGGCCAAGACATGGGTGTTACCCTGGCTCTTTGAGAAACACACACCCTGGGATTTGTAATGACCATACTGAGTTGGGATCTCAGTTTTGCATCTCATCTGAAAGACGATGCCTTTTTTACAGTAGTGTCCCTGCTCCTTATGTTGGAGCATTAGGACCCAGAATGACCATGGGGTGAGTGCCCCCTACTGGCCTCTATTAACACCACTTCCTGAGGTCTACCATCCAGGTGCTGGCTGGACTCACCTGCTGAGCTTCATTTGGTTACTAGTTTGTGAATTGTAGGGTGACTATAGCTGCTGGGAATGTGTATTAATGTTATTCTCCTTACCCATTGAAATGGAGAATCTGATCGATGTAACTAGACCCCACAGTAAGCGCGGGGTATATGGTGTTGGGCTGTGAACTCGCTCTGGGCTGTGGTCTTGACTTGGTCTCGACTGTCCTGGCAGGTTCCATCACGTGTACAAGGTGGGCTATCAACCCGTCTGGCCCAAGCGCTCTTATTTCAAGGACCTGAAGAACAAGCACAGCTTTGTCCTCAGCACCACCAATGGTAAGCTTGCGTGGAAGGTGCAGTTTCTGCCCCCCCCCCCCTCCCGGGAGCTTCCAGGTGTGGACCGTGTCCCTCCTGTTGCCCGCAGCCCGCTGGACCAGGCTGTCCCCCAAGAGCGTGTACTACCTGGGCCAGCCCATGTACTTCCAGGCCTCCGCACACGCCATGGCGGAAGCACAGAGGCTCTACATCCACTCCTGCTACGCCACCATGTCCCCCGACCAGTATTCGGAGCCCAGGTTCATGGTGATTGACAACTTCGGGTGAGTGCCGGGAGGTTGGCTGTGACGGGGTACGGGGGGAGCTGACGGCGGGCCCGGCTGTTCCCCTGGGGCCTATTGAACAGTGTTCCGCTGGTCCTTCAGCACAGCTGCATTGAAACGGCCGGCTTCTCAGAGGCATTTTAATCGGGTTCCAGGTGCATGTTGGACAGCAAGTCGGAAGGCTGCCAGTCCAGGTTTGTCCCCTCCAAGAAAAACGAAGTCCGGTTTGTCGTGGATGCTTTCCAGTTTGACAAGAAGCGGCTCAGAGTAAGATCCCTCTTGAGTATTCTGCACTGATTCTAGCATCTTGTAATGCAAGGAGATGCCCTGCACCTGGGTAAGCTGGCTGGCTAACTGATACTATTCAGTTCTGGAGCTGATCAACCCAGTGTCAATGGCCTGCAGCTTCAGTCATGTTGCAGGGCCTGATAACTCTCAGGCTGCACTTGTTACAAGGTCTCCCTCTAGTGGGCATCTGTCCTCTGCAAGTCTGCTCTTGCAATCCCTCTATCCTGCTTTGGCTGCAGGAAACCATGCTCTACCTGCACTGCAGCCTGGCTGTGGCAGATGAGGAGGCTAGCCAGGGGAACAAAGCCTGCACCTACAACAAGCTGAACAAAAGGTAAATGGTAAAGCGCTGTGGGTCTGAGCCGTCGCCAGCCGTTGACGTGGAAGCGCTGATCCGAAGTCTGGTTCCGCCAGGTGGGAGGAGCTCCACGGTAACCACGAGGTGTGTGGCTGCTGCGTCTCGCGGTGCATGGGACGGCCCGTTGCAGGCAAGTAGTAATCGAGGGGGTGCTGGCTTTCTTGTATAAAGAAGCTCCCACTTTTGGGGGGGGGGGGAAACGGAGTCCCTACGATGTCCGCATATGAAGCGTGGCTTTAAAAGGCTTTGTCCTGACTAAATCCCATGGTGTGGCAATAGATTGACCTGTGGAAGTCCTGAATGTTAATGACGACGCATGGGACAAGCTTCATTTTCCAGACCTAGACCTCTTGATGGCTCTTTTTGTTTTCTCATGCATACAAATGTGTGGAGTTGTTAGTTTGTGCAGCTGTTCTGGAACCGCCTGAACTGGGCCTTTCGATCTGTCCATGATGCTTACGAGTCGATCATGGGTTACTGGACATCCTCCAGGTGCCAGGACGGTCAGCAGCAGCCCCCTGCACCTCAGCAGCCGCCAGGCGGAGGCGCCGGAGTGGGCTGTGGAGCCTACGGAGCCCGCGGGGGAGGTGGGGAGACCCGCGCAGGGTGGCGCGGCGTGGGACAGCCTGCCCTCGGAGGAGGGGCAGTGGGATGAGGCTCTGGAGGAAGACCGGGTCCCTGGCTCGGCCGAGGTCCTGATGGGGGATGAGCCCGTGGAGGTGGTACAGGGGGCACACCTGCCAGGGGGAGCTGGCTAGTGCTCCTGGAGAGGGGTGGAACCCGGCAAAACCTTCCTACAAGGGAGTGCTTGTGGGAGGCTCCGGCTTGTGCCCCCCTTGTGGTCTGGATCGTGTGGTTTTGTAAAATCAGTTCTGACCAGTGAGGTGCTAGCTTGAGAGGAGAGCCCATGCTGCATTCATTGTCACTCCAGTGCAGTGCCACGTTACCTTGTAGACATGAGTGTGGTTCAGCTTTATTTGCCATGTATTGAAGGTTTTGCTGTGAGATCATGTGGATTGTGTAATTCAATAAATATTGGTAACATACGGGTGATGGTGTTAAGGACAGGTTTTTTTTTTTTTTTTTTGGAGGAGAGATGCACAAAGTGTGTATGGAATTTGGGGTTGTGGGAAGTGGGTATTTTGCCAGCCAGTTGCATTCTTGATGGAGCACTGTGAAGGGACTTGCCTAAAGCAACTACTGTTTATGATCTGTTCTTCTAGTGGGGTACTTCAAGTCCCTTTTTTTTCCCACCTGACTTGCTGAATACCCTGAGAAGCTAGCCTATACCAGTGGGTGTGGGAGAGGTTTTGTGTCAAGTGGAACCCCAAATGGCTCATACAGTACCTGACTTGTGTGGACTCCAGTAGCTTTCACCTAGTCTAATCTGTAGTGTTAAGTGGGATCCACCTGTGAGACTCCCTTGCTGAATTTCTTAAGACTCCTTACTGGAGTTTGGGGGGTGGGGGTGAAAATTTTATACTAGTGACTAAATCTGGCAAGGTTTAATTTAAGAGTGGGACACTGCCCATGATTGGTAGATCTTGGGAGCTTTCTGGCCCTGCCCTGGGAGGTGTGGTCCTGTAGCTGGTGTAAGTGGCCCTAAACACCCACCTCTGCATCGAGTGCATTCTTGGTTGCATGACTAAGCTAGAAGGTGGTATGTTTAGCCCTGCCCTGTTCTACAGAACCAAGATTTTATGGTTTCTTGTGTAGGAGGGTAAAGCTCCAGGCCAGGCCCTTCTTTTTAATGCCCATTTCCCCAAACCATATCTGTCATATTAAGCTCAATTCATGAGCAGAGATCTGGTTCACATCCACCAATTAAGCATAATTTTAATCTGATTTTAAAAACCGGTTTGAGAACCAGTGTCTAGTATGACTTACTAGACCTAGTTCTGCGACCTTGGATCTAGATTGTCACAACCATTTAGTTTCAAACTTTTTTCCAGTCCTCTGCCACTTGTAAAGTATCTGGGATATATGGAACTGCATGAGATTAGTGTGGTAACTGGCTAGACAGGACAGATCATTATCTTGGCAGTTATGGCAGGTGCTACTATTGTTGACCTAATATGCTTGCTCAATGTGGTGCTGGCTGTTTCTATAGGAATGTCAAGTAATATTCTATGGGACTTATCAGGAAAACCCTAAACTATTTAATTCCTCTGAGGCATTCTTGAGATGGTGATGTGTAGGTTTAAAAGTCACTCAATTTCAGTTTAGTTTATCAAGATATAGTGATGTAAAGTGGAGGTGGGTTGTACATGGTACTGTATGGATGCATCTATTTCTTTAAAAAAAAACGTGCCTCCAGTTTGATGCATTCATCATGAATCAGAAGAGCAGGTTATTACTGGCTAGGGTGTGAGACATTCATTAACTCTGATTATAGGGGTGGTATTAGCCAGTGAATGTAAATGGTTTAGAAGTCCACTGTATCAGTGTGTTACTTAGCTTAATACAAGATTCTTGATAGTATTTTTATTATAAAAGGATTTAAAAATGTCTTGATTCTCTACCACTGTGATAACTGAAACTGTGGACAAAACAATCACAAATGAATATAAAAAAAATACATGAATAAAACTCTCTCCCTGGAGCAATATCAAGATTAAAGGAAAAATACATACTAGAAAATTATAAAAAATACATTCTAGCAAAGCTAAAAATATATAAAAATGATAAATACAACAAGAAGCAATGTATAATCAACATGATTTGTGCTTGTTCTGAAATCCCAGCTCTCAGCAGGGAAAAGAGCAGGTTACCTAGTCTTCCAAACTCATTTCTTTCTCTGCCTCTATCTGCCCACCCTTGAGTAGAATGCCCCAGACTTGAACAAGTCATCTGGCTTAGTCTTTTGGAAGATACTGGTTTTTAATTTCTATTTGATAAGAGTAACTCCTAGTACAGAGTCACATCCAAAGGGATCTTGGCTTGACATCCTGTTAGGACAGAAACCAGGACTGTGGGCGGGGCCTGGAGCTTGAAGTGGAACCTAGCAGCAGACAAAGCCTTTCCTCACAACTGCTGGTCTACCTGTCCTCCTTGAGTGACCCCTGCAGCAGTGCAACATGAGATCCTATGTGTTCACAGGCCCATTCCTTAACACTCCTCCCAATGCACATTCACCCAGACTTGCAGACATGCAAGAACATTTGTTAAGCATGGCAACAGTTAAAAATAAATGGAAAACTTTTTTTTTACAAATTCAGTTGGTATTTGTGGTGTCAGAAAACTGCTTATATCAGTGGGTATCTCTAGATGTTCCATCACAGAGCTGAACACCGAAAACATTGCAGGTGAGGCTGTCAGCCTGGTCTGTCTGTGTTCCTCTGGCAGTGAAGGAAAGGTCATCAGTCTGTCTCAGCCCTATAGTTCCCCATCTATGCTCGTTTTCACGTACTTAGTTGGTCACCTCTCACAAATTTGGCTTATTTTCATTGTGTATGCCACAGTTACTGGAATAGACCAAATACTGATACTGCATTTGTTCCAAGTTGCAAGTCATCCATCAGAGTTTTGGTGGTGAACAGGGCGCATCAGCCTTTGCTTAATCTATTTTCTCCTCAACTACTTGTTTTTAGAAATGGTCTTCTGTGTCCAATACGAACACCACTAGTCTCTCTCAGGTGTGCATTTGCAAAATGCTGACAACTTGGAGAACAGCTCTAGATTAGTACTGGAAGAAAAATGACCAGGAGGTTCAAACAGCAAACAATGTCCAATTTCTTTTGTACTTTCATGCTCTTTTAAAACTGTTTATGTAAATCTGGGGAATATTGTGGCTTTCTTTTCCAGATATTTCCCTTTTTCTAAAAAAATTAACTAAGCAATCAAGCAGGATCAATGAAATTCTGTTGATGGTGAATGTTTTGCAGTCAACAGATCAGACAGAAAATGAATCATGATCATTCACAAGATGAATAAAAACTGTTTTGCTGATACTAAAAATAAAATTCAGACTGGGTAAGTGGTTGGTCCACAGAAAAAAAATCACTCTTCGGCAGTGTAAACCTGTGGTAGTGGCACGTTTCTCATGATCCTCTGAAATCTACCATCCTCCTAAGTTCCAGGTATTTGAAACTGGGAGGGAGGGGCATGTTTAGCAGCATAAGCCACTCGGGATAGTAAACAACCCAGAATTTAATGTCCATCATCTTCCTCTAGACCTGTGCAGTTTTTGAGACAATATCTGGCGATGGTAGCAGCAGCACTCCAAGACAAAACACTTGTCCTAAGAGAAATAGGAATGTCCTGGTGGAACAAAAAACTGTTTCCAAAGCAATCTTTTGAAAAATGAGAGCCAGACGAGTCCGAGTGCTTTCAAGATGACTTGGCCGAGGTCCTAGGCAGCAGTGGAGAGGTTGGGCGCGGATGCCCGCAGCTCCTCGTGAATTCGGAGTTTGGGTTTCATGTCCAGGTGCTCGTGGAAGTGGCACTGGCAGTCGTGAGCCCTGTTGCCGGGGTTCTTCTGCAGCCTTTGGTGTCTCTTGCGGTTCTTGACCTTGTGGGCGAAGCGGAAGACCCTCTTGAAGATGAGGTAGATGATCTCGCAGATGTTCAGCACGATGCAGAAGGCCGAGGCGCCCACCATGAAGTAGGTGAAGACCCTCTTCTCGGTGGGGCGGCCGATGAAGCAGTCCACCAGGTTGGGGCAGGGGCTGACCTCGCACTTGACCAGCCGGGGCAGGTCGAAGCTGTCGTAGATGAGGTGCAGCAGGTAGAGGAAGGCGATCTCGATGCCCGTCTTGAAGAAGAGGCTGATCAGGTAGGTCCACCACAGGCCGCCGTGCTTCTTGCCCGTGTCTGGGTACAGCTTGGACCCCTCCCCGTGCTTCAGGCGGTGCTTCCTCTCCCGCTCCTCGCGGTACGCCACGTGCATCACCACCATCAGCGAGGGGCAGGTGACGAAGATGAGCTGCAGGGCCCACAGGCGGATGTGGGAGATGGGGAAGAAGTGGTCGTAGCAGACGTTGGCGCAGCCGGGCTGGCGTGTGTTGCAGTCGAAGTCCTTCTGCTCGTCGCCCCACACTCTCTCGGCCGCCACCACGTACACCATCACCCGGAAGACGAAGACCACCGACAGCCAGATGCGGCCGAACGCGGTGGAGTACTTGTTGACCCCGCTGAGGAGCGCCTGGAAGGTCTTCCAGTCCATGGCAGTGACTGTAGCTCAGGAGTCGGGGCTCTGGGGTCTCCTTCCCTTCTTCAGTGCGTTTTTGTTTCTATTCAGTCAGTATCTGAAAAAGGAAAAAGAAAGACTGAAATGAGTCATCGTGCGAGTCTTCCCAGCAAAGCTTTTGCAAAATAGGTCAAACCTTCAAGTGATAATTCTTGGCTTTTAAACGGCGCTTTTCGCACTGATGCTTGCCTTGGATTGTCTCCCATCCCCGTACTGAACAGCCCCAGCCTCGCAGAGCTTCGAGATCGGACTCGATCAGGAAAAGAGGTGGAAACTCTGCACCTGGACAAGGGTAGGATCTTTGGAAAGCTGACGAAAGCACCTGTATCTCAACACATACTGCACTAGACAAAATGTATTTCCCAGAAATCATCTAAAACTTCTTGCTAAAAGATTAAAATGTATTCTTTTCAAACTGTTGAGCAATTTTCATTTTCTCTACAGGTGTTTAGCAAACCGGAGTTCCTTTTTTTTTTCTGTGTGCCTGAGAACAAACTCTCAACAATTCGCTGTGCCCTCCCACTCTACCCCACTGTGAATCCACTCTGTTTTTCCGTAGACACTCCTAAATCTTTCAAAAGGTTTTGTTTGCTTTGCAATCCCTCCCTTTCTTTAGGGAAAGTATAGAGGTGTTTACCCAACTGCAACTTCAATCGAAGATTTAAGGTTATTTTACCTTCTGGTTGAATTGGTCTTTTATTGAGCACTGGGAAACACAATGTCTTTTGTTCATTACTCTGGAGAACCAGACCTGGGCACACATTCTTTCAGTCTCTTTTATTTTTTAAATTTAAGGTCTTCCACTAACTAATGTAATCGAATTATAGTACAATCACAGATCTTATTTACAAGACTCTCAACAATTAAGTAAATAAAGAGGCTCCCAGTCATTAGGGAAGTAAAGCTGTGAAATAACGAACACCTTCCATGAAGCAGCAAAGTGGCAGACTGTTCTGGATGCTCTCAGTGCACATCATTTTGAGATGTCCAGGGTATTATTTTAAGATCATCAGTTGTGTAATGGCACAAATGGAATTAGACTATTTTGTTCTTACAGGTCAATTAAATGCCTCTTTTTTTTTCCTTCAATAATCCTTCAACAAAGGAACCTGAAAGCCTTCAATCAGGACTAATGACAAGCAACAGTTTCTCCAGTACTGACTGCATTGTTTCTGGAAGGACGATTCTGGAAGAGGTGAAGAGGAACTTCTTAATTCAGTTTTGATTGTTGAAAATGAATGCTTTAGTTTGAAATATACAGTGTCACGTTTTTCTTGCAGAAAAAAAAAACAAGTAGGTATTTGTTTATTATAATATAGTCCTTCTGAAACCTGAATAACAACTGTCAATGTCCGACTTGTTAGCTCAGTGGAGCTTCTTCACACACAACATGAAACAACCAGCATATCACATACTGTAGCTGATTGCATCCCTTTTAAAGAAGAATAATTTAAAAGACTTTAGGATTTTCAGCCCTGAGAATCACAGACTGATTAGGAAAGACTTAAGTATCTGAGGTTATGCAATACACAGAAAGTTCCAATTCACTTAGTCAGCATGACAACAGATATGCTGTTATAATATGTTAATGCATTCATTTGTGTAAAGGAGTATGAGTGGGGCTGTCTCTGGTAGTACACTGTACTCTCTCCACCAACTAAACATTATAAAGTATATCCACACCTTGTGTATGAAAAACTTCACTTGGATTACTTCACTGCAATGGAGCTCAGTGTCCCATGTAGTTCATGGCTCTACCAAGTATGATAAATTACTTGCACGCACTTAGTAGCAAGTGAATTGTTGCAGAAAACAAGTCGTGATTTTAGACTGATGTTCATCCATGGTGTTTTTTTCACTCAGGAGAGTTTCCTTGGGGCACATATTTTCATCCCCACAGGTAGGAGATCAGGGCCCCTCCGTTCCGCAGCGAAGAAGAATTCAAATCTCCAACACTTATTCTGACCAAGATTTTATATGCCTTGAAGAAGCATAGACTTTCAAATGCTTTCTGCTCTTACGAGATTTTCCTAAACGTATTACTTCCTTCATCTGTCTCTTTCATTACGTGTTCTTACATGTTCAAAGCTATAATGTGAGCAATGAAGTTTTGAAGTATTCTAGTCTAAAAAGGCAAAGAGGCGCACATTCAGGCTCTAGGCCGTTTTTTTGCGAAGTTCCTTTAGTTTGACAAGTAAGATATCGTACAAGTTATAACGTTGAACTCCGTGATTCGGAGTGCATTTTATTATCAGGCGTATTATAAATGCGTGTTATTGACTTATTCTCTCTGGAGAGAGCATTTGAAATGTACATCAAAGTGCAAACACTGCACGAGAAGAATGCTAAACTCATTGCTGTATTCCTGATCCGGAGGAACAACCTGCATTATGCGCAGTTTAGGCAGTTTGAACCCACTGAGAAGCAGGGGCTCTTAACTACACCCCACAGGTGAAAGTCAGTGAATTATTTGAAATTCTCTGTTCGCACAAACGCAAAACTTAAATTGATGTGCGGGTGTAATTTTGATTCTGATATAGTCTCTGGATTAAAAACGTATCTGAGGCTGCAGTCGCTGAAGCGTTTAAGCGTTTCTCCAAGCCGTTCCTGAAAAAGGCCGTTCGTTCTCAATTGACGTATCTGTCTACTGTGCATAAAATAGTAAAATTACTAAAACTGTTAATAAGCCCTTAAAAATCCCCAAAACATCCGCCAATGTTTTCTGGATAATGCCAACCTTTTCACACAGAAAAACAAATTTATGTTGTAATATTTGCAATACAGTAAATAGTTTCACGTCCTAAAGTATGTTTGCATACCACAAACGAAAATTAGAAGCTTCGACAACGACCTGCCTTAGTAAATAAACACACATAACAAAGTCGTTAATAAGGCTCTAACTTCACCGTGCTCTTTACTGTGGATTTTAGGTTTCTAATACTTTGTTTTTCAACAAACTCTTCAGGTTTGGCGCAAGGCAAGTTGAGAGCGTGTTAAAAAGGGGACGAAGTCTTCCAGCACAATCGCAGTGGAGAAGAGTACGGCACGTGAAAAGTGTGACCAGACTAGGAACACTGATCTTCAATTTCTCCACCTGGAGCCAAAACTAGGCAAGACCAAAATCCACCCACGTCCGACAGCAGAGTAGAAGACATTTACCACAATAATTCAAACACATTTTCCAGTTTTTTTCTCCCATTTGAAAGCCAGCTTCGAACTGGACAAGGGACAATTTTAAACATTTAAAATCTTATCCCATGTTTTCTATTTATGAACACATCTTTTCACTTGGCTCAGAACCAAACCTGTACACCAAATACCTGAGTGAACCACTTCGTACTCAATCATATTTTTCAGGTTTCCGCTGCTGACTTACAACAGATCTCGCCGATAACAACAAGAACAATAGGGACTTAAGCTGAAACTTGGTTATCAAACAAGACACTTTGTTTTAGGAGACAAACTCTTCATTATTCTTCATTAAAAATGACGTACGGATTCAAGATTCTAATACTTACTGTATCAAAGACCCGTTTCCTCCATGTTGCAGGTTCTCTCGCAGTATTCCCACTTCTGTTCCTACCCCCCTTGGCTTTTAAAAACTGTTCCTGATACTTCAGAGACTGACTGTGGTTTAGTAGCTGGAGGGAACGCGTCTTGCTTTTCATAGAGGGTGTGGTCTGACGCCACAGCTCGCAAGACGAGAGACGGAGAGAGAGCGAATGTTCTCCAGGTAAACAGGACAAATGCGGGTTAGCTGTGGTTCCGGTGGTGCTAAACGACTTCTATTCCCAGATGGATGTCGATTATAGTGCCATATCAAACTGAGTGTCGGTAACGCAAGGGATGTGGTTTCTTATCTCACCCTTAAAGGATGGTGTGTGGTCATTATTAATCCACATTCTCACACCGATCGTTCTTCTTGGGCATGGATGTTCAATATTTAATCATCACCGAAAGTTGCACACGAGCACACACGAGGCTCCAGTTGAAATCACACAAAATGAATAGGGTACCCACGGCTGTTTTTGATAGCACGGATATTGTACTTGTGAAATGATGTTCCATTCCTTCATGTATGTTATACGCCTTTGCAGTGACATTTGTTTAAAAAAAAAAACTGAGTAGAAAAGCATTGCAGTTACCCTCATCAGAATGCAGACTTCAGTTCCTTGGGTAGTTGTACTGTGTGATTCGACTCTGTTTCTCTCTGACAGTCGGTCACTCTGCGTGGAATCAGTCCTGAGAGGCAGACACTGACTCTCTCCCTTGGCCAAAAGCCCCCTTTCCTACAAGGAGCAACAGGGCTCGAGTTGGGGGGCAGTATTCGGCCACTGCCTGTTCCTGAAATCCTCTGGAGTTGCACAGAATGTGCCCAGGAGCCTGAAAGTCGTTTTGTCAAATAGTGATAATGACCACAAACAGCCATAAATTAGTGGGACACCTGGAAACTGGGGGTACGCACCAAAAGTGAACCCCAATAATTCCTCAGATAAAAATGTCCTTCTCCAGAGGTAAAATAATTTGTCATTCTCTTCCAGGTAAACTACTGTAATAATTCCATGTCTGTAACTCTCTATAACACCATTGTGTTGTTAGAAGAGCATGAGTAGAATGAGGACTAAAAGGGGGGAAATGGATTTCCAGCAAAATATTCCAGTGGCACTAAGTGGTGATACTTCTGACTTATAAGAAAATCTCAATAACTTCAGTAAAATGTATTGGCTGAATGCTCATTAGCTGTGTTTAAACTTCTGACAGAGTTCTGCTAAACAATCAAAGATTGGTTAGCGGCATGCAGTGTTTTTAACAATCTCTTCTTGATGTATTAGTATGAAGCACTTGAAAACTGACATATGAAACCACTTTGCAATTCAAGAGGAAAAACAGTAGAAAATATTCAGCAGGAAGCTAGGCAACAAAATCACAATTCACCATAAAGGTTCTATCTTCCCCTGGATCTGTTTGGCTTTGTTTATTGGTATGCGTCTCAGTCCTTTGACAGTATCTACAGTATGTGTTCCCCTTTTCCTGCCGAAACCTGCCCCAGTGTCTGATGGTGAGATTTCTGCCACACCCATGAGTGAATAAGATCTTTTGTGAGGCTAATCTTCACATTTGATTGCCAAGCACTCTTTCATGTGTGTGTGTTTTTAGGTGAGCCTTTTAAATGAAGTACTGGCTGATATTCCATTCCTCCCACCACGCAGGTTTGGCTCAGGCAGGAGAGTTAAGTTACCGGTAACTGAGATCATTGTGCAAACGTTCCGTCTTCTCTTCCTTTCTTACTCAGCCCGAACCCATGGGATTTCACCCTGCTGTGTGCTGTGTGATTGGTTCTTTAGGAATGAAGACGTTCCCAACGGTTTCAAAGCTTAGTACGCACACTTAGTATAGCAAGAAAAGAACATAGGGAAGAAATGTTGTCTCTTCACGACAGGCCCCTGTATGTCGGCATGTGCTGTATGTGGAATTATTTTGTTGAGCAGACAGCACTCGCACAGACTCTACAGCAGTGGCGTTTGTTGCTGGGCTATAGAACTGGGGCCCCTGCTTTATCGTGGTATTTGATTGGTAACTGGTGTGTCTTATAATAACGGAACACTGTACATCTTCTGGTCATTTACCACGGTACCCTGCATGGCACATGTCCAGTTTTCCTGGCTGCCGAAAGCTCTACCATGCTTAGATCACTGATTCATTTCGGGTCTCAAAATTAGTTTGACCATTTTTCCTGTGGTTTATATCTTGCTATACCATACACTTCACCATGTTTTACTGTAATTTTACGGTATGTATATTTTGCATGTCACAGTATGCTTCCTTGGGTAACGGTTTACCTGTTTAAATAAAAAAATACCCTTTAGAATTTGCCCCACGATAAAGGAAGACAGCTTGCCAGCGCTCTCCTGCTCTGTTTTCCTGGGCACGAAGGATGGGAACAAACTGTTTTTCCTAATCAGGGTTCCCAATGAAGGCCTGTTTCTTCGCTGCCTCCTGCCTCTCAGCCTGGAGACTGAGACCGCTGGACAGAAATGCGCAGTGAGCTGCCTGCCTGTGCTTGTTTGGGCACCCTGCGCGTTTGCAGATGTTCCCTTGTTCTTAGCTCCGTGTTTATGAACAGTGAACGCACACTGTCATCCACGTGCCTCTGTCTGCTCCTGCAGCCCACAGACAGACTACCCCACAGTATCAGGCTGAACCTGCACCAAAGACAATGGGCCTCCAAGCTTCCAAACACCGTAGCTAGAGACTGAAGCGCAGATGGCAGTTCATTTTCACCTGAAGCGTTCCACCATGTAACAGGCCTCTAGGGGCGAACCGTTCCCCAAAGGAAAACCTGGCGAGTCCGTGGTGGATGCTACAGCAGAGAGCACCCCCTGCAGAAGAGAGTGGAGAGCTGACCCGATGGAGGGAGGGATGGAAACAGGCCAGTGCCAGTGTTCCCATTTGCCGCATGTCCCTTCCCTGGAACTGGTGACAGAGGGCCTCTGCCCAGGAAAGGTAACGACATGTGGCTGCAAGTGCCACCTGCAGAAAGACCTTGCCAGCTCATGTGAAAAGTTTTACATCTTTTTAAAAAAGAAATACATTGGAAGAACTTAGATTATGTAATGCTGATCTTTAGACTCCCTGATTCTGATATTTTTAAGCTGTATTAGAGTATAAAGTATGAATTACTGTGGCCATTCATCTATTCAGTACTGGTCAGCGAAATGTCACAAACATCAGGCTTTAAAAGGCTCTAAAGCAGCCGACCCCAATTAAACAGGAGGATATAATTATGATTCTCATGTTTTTAGTCAGTTTCCTGGTACCACATTGCCTGAATACAGCAGTTCAGTAAACAGCCAACCACAAACTGGCAGGTAAGAACAGCTGCAGGTCACAACGCTTAGCTCCCTGGGAGAAGCATTGTCTTTGCAAATCAGACTGACAGGCTTGACACTCCAAAGTGTCAAGCAATTCAGATTGAAACAAATCCCACACAACAAAACACAACAGCAGATTGCTGCTCGTTAGGCATGCAGACAACAGCGGCTCCGCATGCCACTTTGTGCACATGTGTGAGAAGCCAAGGGAAAACCAGGCCACTGTCCCTGCTGTACAGATAATATGGTCTTACAGTACTTCTCAACACAGGGGCAGTGGGTGAGAATCTGTACCGGGGTTTGTTACTGCAGGCTGATACACAAGGCCCTGTCTGCACATTCCTTCTTTTCTTCGGTTGTTCTTTTCCAACCCCCAGTCTCATCACCCTGCCATGCACCCAAAAGCTCTTCCCCAGATCCCTGCCCTGATTAATTCCATTGTGAGGATCTCCTTGCAGACTTCAGGAGCCGGATTCCCATTTGCAGCAGGACTCTAGGCCTAAAGCCTTTAATGCAAATGACTCCCTGCGAATAGCAATGAAAAGCAAAGGTTTTAGTGATGTGTGTCAACATCACAGGCTGCAGGTCAGGCTGCAGGCTGGAGCTGGGGGATGATAGCGAAGGTACTGTATGAACCTGAAATACCTGAACTGTGTGCCTCCTTAATCTGCTCAAGGGGGGGGAGGGGTGGGGGCCGTGAAGCAAGGCAGGGGAAGAGGAGCAACGAGTTCCATGTTCTGTCTCAACTCGCTGAGCAGGATGGAATTCTGTTATTGTTGTCCTCATGATCAGGACTACAGGGCCTGCAGGCATGAGGTGGTGCAATCCTGCGAGTGCTTTTCAAATCAACTATGTGCCCTATAGCAGCTTAATTATTCTGTTTTCCATCTTGGAAATTTTTCAGAAACGTCTCTCCCTGACTGCCATTCCGTGGGCTGCTCTCTTAACACAGACATCGGCGCCCTGTACTTGCGTGTTTCGTGTCAGTACATCGGAAGAGTGCTCACCCCAACCCACACTGTGACCCCTAACGTCTTCTCTGTCAGTCAAGGAGCACATGCGGTTCTTTTTCATTTGAACTGTTCTGTTTAGTGATGGCATGCTTTGTTTTAGCCATGGCTTTCTGTGGATGTAACCTGTTTTCACAGCACCAAATCACAGCCTGTGTACCAATAAACCTCCCTCGTAAACATGCATTATTCTATATCCTACTCTTCACAGTATGCACACATCCCATGACATATTTAAAAGAGCCCTCACATCAGACGTCAAGAATTTCACTGCTGTTCCTCATCCGTGGACAAATGGACTCAGTGTGCAGGTTTGCTAGTTGCAGGACCAGTGGGTACATAACTGGGCAGGTCACGAGCCTGTTACAGAGAGAGGTGAGCATTTAAATCCTTCACATCAAGACGTCCGGTCTTCTGGTACTTTGGTTCTGATTCTTCTCTGTGTCCCACAGAATGACGTTTCTCTATGGGATCCAAGATGTCTAAAGTTCCAAGAGCCAGTCTCTACCACAACATGACAGAGTCATCAAATTATTTGTGAAACTAAGGCTAGATGGGACCAGGTAGAGTATGCAAAAGGACCCATGTCAGTATTTAACTTGTTTTGTTTTGAATAAAAACAAATATTTCACTCTGTGTCTTTAACATTAGCTTTGACGTATCAATTTGAACTGTAGATAAGTTGATCAAGTCCTCCATGGAGAAGATATCTCCACTCCTTTGATAAGAATGAGCATGTCTGGATTCAGGTGAGATGGGTTGGGTTTTATGACAATTATTTTTCCTGTGCTATGGGTCAGTTCAGGTAGAAATGACATCTGCTTTGAGTCTGATGAAGCTGATTCTGGCACTGAGAAGACTCCTCACAGTCACTCATAGGCGTCTACGTGGGAATGGTTTACTCCAGGGGTCTGGATGCTCCTGCTGTGATGCAGTGTGCAGATGGCACCTAAGGCCAGAGTCTCAGTGCTGTGATGCAGTAATGATTCGGTGCCACGATGCCACCGAATTGCCTTAATCCTACCATAAAATATCACAGCTGATCTAATGGATTTCCACCTGTGCTCAGAGTTGCTGTGTTGACCTGTTTGTTCCCTGCCCGTCCCAGGTCTGCTCTGTGGGATCACACTTTGCTTCACCCAGTTCTCCATTGTCATCCCTGCAGGTGTCGAGCAGTTGCTCATGAAAGATGCCTGCTGAGCCTGCTGCACCGTGGTCAGGGAGCGACTGGAGTCTTGCCCCTCCAGCGCCGCGCACGGTCCGAGCCCACATGCTGTTGCACTGGTTTATTTGTTGATTATGTAATCTGCCCCTTATTGCCAGTTTCAGCAACAGATGGAGGTCCTTGTGTGTGGGAATTGTGAGATTAGGAGACCTTCCCCTGTGCCCTTCCTTTATTTACCTGGTGAGGCAGCAAAATTGTACCATTCAGTACAGCAGGGCGGGAGTGTTAGGCTTGCTAATCTAAAGTCTTGTCTTCTCACTGTCGAAGAATCCAATTAGCAATGCCCAGACTGTACACATCACACCCCCTTATTCCTCTAAGCCTTCTCCTTAACAGTCAGCATTATCACCAGCTCCAGATATGCTGGTGACGGAGTCCAGTGGCTCACTGATACTTTTGAGCTTGATAGTGGGCAATTCAATGCAACCTGTTTGCTAATGAGGAGTATCTCAGTTACTGCTCCCTGTTACCCTTCCCTCCCTGGAGATGAAAAGTCCTGTGCATGACGACAAGTCCAGGTTATCGCTGTGTTCTCCAGGGGCTTGCTGCTTGCATCCTTGGGTGTTTCGTGACTCTGCTCACCTCTGTCCTGCTGTACATTTAGATGTTTTGAGTTTCCCTGGTAACATCAGTTAACTGTGAAACATCTGGGTAAAATAGCAGTGACAGTAACTGCTGTAAGACAGTCCAAAGGCATGATATAATGGGAAAAATAATTTCATCAGTCAGTTACAACCTTTAGGAAACCAATTCAAAATAAAATGTGTGTGCTGTGAACATGATAAAAGTATCATATGAATCTACAGGTAAATCTGTAATCCATATATATTATAAGTTTAAATCTGTATTCCCATTTGATTCATTTGTGATATTGGCAGGGCAGCATCCATTTTCTGTACCAGGGGAAGAGGAGATGACCCAGAATACATAGATTCTTTTTAATCGATGAACATGAGAGAAATATTGTGAGTAATGTGAGGATAGTAAGGGGGTGCATACCCACCCGACTATAATTGTTTCAGAGAAAAATGCAGAACAGAATATGGCCTATATTTACAAATGAGATGATTTTGAGATGCAGATTCCTGCTCCAACCTCTGTACTAATAAACCTAATGTTCCTGCCTGCTGACATGCATGCTGATGCATAGACTGTAGGGCTACTGAGGTCAGGGGCAGTTTCCAACTGGGGCAAAAAAGGACGCAAATAACCCCATTTACCATCTCTAGGGCAGCAGCATGGTGTGGAGGTTTTCACTGCTGCCTCACCGCTCACACCTGATCGCCCATCCATTCATTTTCTAATCACTTTATGGAACACAGGGCAGCAGGGGAACTGGAGCCAATCCTGAAAACAACGTGCACAAGGCAGGATACCCGGGACGGGACGCCAGACTCACACCAGGGCCACTTTTCCCAGAAGCCAAGTAACCCACCAGCGTGTCTTTGTACATGTTAGAATTACTAGCCCTTTTTGTAGTTAGTAGTTATTACATTCCTTGGATGTTATTCACCTATTTATTGGCTTACAAAAGTATCGGCTTCCACAGCGTGGCTAGGTGGTTTGTTCCATACTCCTACAGCACTTAAAAAACTGCCTCCCAGTTAAGCTTCCACATACAAGTCGTTTCCACCTATGCCCTCCTGTTTGTGTTTCACTGTTCAATTTGAAGACCTCCGCTGGGCTTTCTGGACTCTCTGAAGAGTGATATCTTCAAAAACGAACACACAGGAGTTACAGGTAATCAGTTTACATCTTGTTTTCTGTTCTTGGAAATCTCGCACTTCCGAAGGAATTGTGGGGATCATCTTCTGTGTTGCTGATGTTCTCCTGGAGCCTCTGGGTCTTTTCAGGACTCTGTCAGGGCAATTAGTACATTTCCTTTTCATCTGCAGTGAGGGAAGTAAGTTTCAGTATTAGGTTTTTGTCCTGTATGCCATTACCCAGCACAGTACAGCAGGAAACAAGAAGACATAAAGATAGTATGATCTACAGGTTAAAAAAATCCATCCGATTTGTTTCTGATTGACTGGGTAGCTTGGCTACGGTGGAAAAGCAAGATTTTACTGGTTCTGAATTTTTCTGAGAGGCACTGACACACATTGAGATAAAAAGGTTTATTTTCACAGTGCAATCTAATGGGAAATTGTTCTTGAGTAGTACTGGATGTGAAATACAAATATTTACTTTATATTAATCAAGTGTTTTAAGTGAAGGAAGGTGGTGTTTGTACAGTAGCATCACCATAATGGGCACAGTTACAGCATAAAGCAGCAAACTCAGCAATGAAACATGGAACACCTATCCTGTTTTCTAATACTTCCAGGACCTCAAAGGGCTGAGTTTTTAAGCTATTCAGGTTCTACAGGGTAGGTGCACCTCATGTCCAGATAAGGCAAGACTCACCTTTGTAATCCAGGGAGCAGCATGAAAGATACAGCACCTGAACACAGACGTCCTGGGCATGAAGAGGGAGGTTTCCTCTGTGCCTGAGTCAGCAGTGCAGAGGAAACTGCAAGTCTCAACAGATAAACGGGGCGAGCACACCCTCTGGCCTGACAAGCAAAACACGCCACCGCATTCCTGCTTACAATGGCAGACAGCAGCAGCAAAATTCTCAACAGACACCCTCATCTTTTGAGTTGCACAAGACAGGTTTGGAGAAAGACAGCGTCCTGACTCCTGTACATCACAGTCACCAAAGTGAAAAGGTCTCATGGGGCTCTACACTGTATTTGGCCGAAACCCCAATATACCAGATCATCTGAATTCTGGCAGTAAACACAGGTGTTCCTTTTTTTTTCCTACATAATATGTATTTAGAATTGAACTTTCGAAGATTGCTTTTTCAAATTGCAGATCTGTTTGGAGTTATTTACTGCTTTTGAAGTCATATACCTTTAATGCTTATTACACGGAATTTATGTGATTGGTGATCAATTGTAGGTATTGCCATATGTTATGGGAACATAGATAGAGATAAGTTGCTAATTTAGAGCCCATCTGTCTGTGGGTATTAAATAGCTGAAACTTTTTTGTAACCTTATCTGACTGGGTGAGGTCCTGGGATCAAACAGTAGATAACAGGGCATGAGTGTTCTCCAGGGTTTGTAACAGTTTTTGATATGGGTGTTGCACTGTGCAGGGAGAACTGGTTAAAACAGGAAGCATACAACACTTCACTTAAGAAAACATCATCTAATCAAAAAATCAGTGTCAGATTCAGAACAATAAGGCTGTTTCAAAACAAACAGGTATTCTTCCCTCCAGTCTTCCTGTCTTCTTCTGTTGACTTAGATAGCTTAAAGAGCAAAACAGAGCCTTCAACAATTACAAGAAAGTAAAGAGTTTAATGTTACAGTATCCGTAAAACATACATTAAAAAGAGCTTATAATGTAGGGAGATGGTCTATTAACGTGTATAATTTAATACAGGAATGTAGATAGAATATGTTCCAATGTCATGTAGCAACCTCTGATACCAAATACTGAGAATGCAATTGCAGACAAAAGCATTACCCCCTACATGTGAAACAATGTTTTTTTAAATAAATTATAGGATGTAGTAGATATGCCCTATAAAACTATGCTGAATATTCAATCTTTTGTCCCAACGAATTGAAGTTCATTTATTGTATTCAATTAACTGTTATAATGCACAGGGCACCAGCACTGTGGCCAGTGTCAGTGGGTGGCACAAAGTCCAGCGATGGCTTATTAAAACAAAGCCCTTATAATGTTTTACTCCCTATGGAGAGGAGAGCCGGTATGTGCTTTTAATAGTGGTGTGCAGAAGAATAGAGGAAAGGGCCACACATGAAGGACCAAATGTTTTACAAAAGGCAGTGAACGGTTTCGAGTAAATTTCTCAGAAATTATATTTTTTCCTTGAAACAAAGGCCAGCTACCTCATGAGTACCGCGTTCTGCCCAAACAGCAGAATTCAGCATTCAGAAACTGAAAAAAAGGCACTAGCTAAATTGTTCAGCAGATGGAACACCAAATTAAACTGAGCAACATTCAACATTCTGATGTCCTAGGGGCAGCTTCTAAACAATGAAATGTCATTCTTTATATCTACACCAAGGTGAGCTCTCTGGACTTTTTTTGCATTTTTCGGTAAAACACACTGTACACAATAAACTTTGCAGGGTTGTTCAGTAATGATTTCCCTCCTACTTCACTCATTCTCATGGCGCAGGCTTCAGTATCTATCAGAAACATTAAAGAGTACGTCTGATCAGAAAGGAGACCTAAAGAGGCACTGACCAACCTCTCTTTCTCCCTGCTGAATTTACACCGTGCAGTGTGGCCTTGTGACTGTGGCAGCATAGGAAGGACAATAAGCCTCAGAACTCTGTGCAGGACACTACAACTGAAGCAGAATATCTCATGATGTCCAGCAATGTCCATTCCTGCACTTGGCGTCTGGGCAGGGGGAACAGGGTGGCACCAGAGGAGCCCCTGGAGCTCTCAGTGCCCCTTCAGCGTGTTGACCTCCAGCATGGTGGTGCTGTCCTTGCCGTTGACCAGAGAGGTGGCCATGGCCAGCTTCCGGCCGTGCCTGATGGAGGTGCAGCACTCCCTGCAGCGCTTGACCAGCAGGTAGACGATCTCGCAGAGGGTGAGCAGGACGCAGGCGAGGCTGGTGACCACCATGAAGATGGTGAAGATGCGCTTCTCGGTGGGGCGGGCGATGAAGCAGTCCACCATGTTGGGGCAGGGGTCCTCACTGCACTTGACCAGCGCAGGGAAGTAGCTGGCCTCGTAGAGGTAGTAGAGCAGGTAGACGAAGACGACGTCCACCAGGGCCTTGAAGATCAGGCTGAGGAAGTAGGTCCACCACAGTCCGCCCCGCTTCTTGCCCGTGTCGATGTACAGGCGGCAGTCGGCCCCGTGCTTGAGGCGGTACTTCCTCTCCCGCTCCTCGCGGTACCCCACGTGCAGGACCACGAGCAGCGAGGGCACGGTCACGAAGATGAGCTGCAGGGCCCACAGCCGCACGTGCGAGACGGGGAAGAAGTGGTCGTAGCAGACGTTGTGGCAGCCCGGCTGGGCCGTGTTGCAGGCGAAGTCCTTCTGCTCGTCGCCCCACACCTTCTCGGCCGCCACCACGAACACCAGCACCCGGAAGATGAAGACCACCGACAGCCAGATGCGGCCGAAGGCCGTGGAGTACTTGTTCACCCCGCTCAGCAGGCCCTGGAGAAACGCCCAGTTCATCTCGGCTGCCGGGTCCGTCCAGTCTCGAGGCCTGTGGGACAGCAGGGAGGAAGAGCATGAGTCAGCGGGAGAGATGAGGCAAATCAGCTGGACGGCGGCTCGATTGTCCCCACTCTTCTGCTGGACCTGGGAGTCGTGGGGGAAGAGAACTCTGGAGATGAGGAACATAAAATAATAAACTACTTCTGGGTTATGTGCTGAACAGTTCTGGAGCTCATTTGTATACTGAACACAAGCACAAAAAATATTCAATTATTTTTCCCCAAACATAGCAATTGAGATGAATATATTCTTCAGACCAAAGGTTTATTAGTTATTACACTGCAGAACGTAACACTGGATCAAAAGACGGATAACTGTTCAGGTTGTCTTCAGATGTTTACAGTTCTTCCACCAGCACTGCCCCCCACCCCGTCAGTATCCCCTGCAGGTGCAGGGTCCCACAGGGGGCAGCGAGAGGGTGGGCTGGTGGAGAGTCACACCTGTGTGCGCCGCAGCCAACAATCAACAGCACTGATTCACCGAAATCGCAAAGAAACAGGCAGCAGCCTTGCAAACCACACAAGATAAAATCACAGCTTTCCAAAACCTGACCCAGGTCTCCACCTCCTTTAGAACCACTTAGTCCTTTGGACCATGGAGGGCTTTGGAACTCTTCCACTGTTGCAAAATCCCTGTATATTCTCTATCCATTTATCATTTAATGGAAATTAACCATATATGTTGTATCCAAACATGAAGGAAATAAACATCCATGCTCGGCTTTTGCTCATGCATTCAAGGGATATAGTTACAGGAAAGATGGTCACAGTACAGTCTTTAGTTTTGTTTTAATAATAATTGCTTACACTTATATAGCGCTTTTCTGGACACCCCACTCAGAAGCTTTATAGGTAATGGGGATCCCCACCACCAGTGTGCAGCCCCACCTGGAAGGTGCAATGGCAACCAGTACCTTCCCAGCACACCAGCTCTCAGTGAGGAGGACAGCAGAGTGATGAAGCCAGTTTAGAGATGGGGGATTATTAGGAGGCCATTTGGAAGGAGAAATTTGGCCATTACGCGGATAAGACTGAAGACATTTGTTACAACTTTATGTATTTCTGATCCCCGAGTGGTATTGAACTGGTCATGTTTGTGGTGGTGCGCTTTTCCACGCAGAATTTCCACATTTTTTTCCAATGACTTGAATCTCTTTTCGGTGTGCAGTCGTCTCCTAAGCGCTGATGAAGAAGCGTACGACAGTGCGGCGCTATAAAATGCGAGCGGCGTAAACTTGAAAGGACAGCTTGTTCAAAACACCGGTTTGACCCGAACGATTGCGGTCAAGTTGGACAGTTTATATCGGTTCTGTGTTCTATGTCTCCAACCCATTCAGCGGGAGAATAAAAAGAAAAAAATTTGAGTCGACCTTTATGAATTTTCTTCGTTTCATTGATATTAAAACAGAAGTAGAAATGTAGACAAGCTAGCAAGGAAAAAAATGTTTTTCTAAGATAACATCTTAAGAATTTAAAGCATGGTACGATGTTTACTGTAAATAACTACATGTAAGTGACAGACGCTCAAACCCATGAATAATGTTTTTCGGAGAATTTTACTCTCTAGCATGCTAATAAACGGCGTTATTTATTGCCAATCGTCACAATTAGTAGCAGCATAATAATAGAATCATTATTGCACATCTAACTCTATGTGCCATAAACGTGAGAAATCGTCACATATCTACTTTCCTTTTATCTGTGATACACGGGGTTTTACTGGCCGCTTACCAGAGATTAAGCTTGATCAAAATAAAGTATTCGATACCTCATTTGATCAAATGACCAAAGACGTGTTACTTACCACGCAGATTGAACAGATCAGAAACGCGCTGGAAGACGTTGTTGATCAAACCCAACACGACAGACCAAGGAGAGCTTCTGCCCCATACTGTAACTATATTCCTCGCTCGGCTGTTGACTTTCTGCGGAACTCAGCAGAGAAAGGTGTGGCCATCTGGCGTAGGTCCATCCCATTTTTGAGCTCCTAGAGGTTGGGCAACCTGACGCGGATAAGATCGATGCCGTGACTAGCACGGGGTTCAAAATGTGTGAATATCTGCATATCAGTTGCTGTGCCATTTGGTTGTTCACAAACAGTGTCCAACACCAAATATGCTTTAAAGTTGTCGTATAAAAAGTTTTGAATTAAATCAAAAGGAGCCTCATTGATACTCCGCTTTAGTGCATTCTTACAGCTACCAATACCAATAACGATAAGAATGAAGTTGTCTGGTTGCAGGCAATTTAGTGTGACACATACTACTAGGAGTACTAGGAGTGATTGAAGGATCAGCAGATGCTGTACTGTAAATGCACGAGAATACGGCCACCACTTTAGAGACGTCTCTAAACCAGGCATTACTGGATGGCAAACGAGAGAGGGGGGTGGATTAATCAATCAGACACTTATGTGCGCACACAATCAAATCGAACCCATCGATTCAATACACCGCCGAATTATATATAATTATATAAAAACTCTTCTCCCTCTTAATGAATGGATTAATGAATTTTTGATTTTCCCTCCCAGCGCGCTAACAAGTGCTTCCTGCCGGCAGCTCGGGACGGGGTGAGAGGTCAGCGGTAAGAGAGGCTTGCTCCCAGAGACGCGGCTCCGTGAGCCGCCGCAGCCCGCTACAATGTGACCCCGGCCGCCGTCGCCGCCGCTGCTGCAGCTGCCTGGCTGCCGTCACTGTGCCATCAGCGTGCGGGGCGGTGCGGGCGGGCAGGCAGGCAGGCGGGCGCAGCCGGGCCCCCTCTCGCCAGTCCGTCGCTCCGGGAGGCAGGTAGGTGAGGGAAACCGTCCGTCCGCACTCCTGACCGAGACAGCAGCTGCCCACCAGATCCGCTGCAGATACCCGACAGCCGCGTTCGTCGTCTTTGGCGTTATCCTGTCCATCCTTTCGATTTGACATGGTGCACTCATTTGTTTCTGCTCTCCGTGGCAGGCTGTCTTATCGCTGCACTGACGGGGGAAAAAGCGACACTGGTTAGGAGCGGGGGATCCCGGGACATTGTGTTGAAAACTACAGTTTGCTCTGGGCATCACAAGGACACCTGTGAGTTTGGTCTTTTTTTCTGCCTTAGGGAATGGGATGTGTTGTTCTTGTTGTTGTTTGTGTGTGAATGCGTGGTTTTTACAGCGGGATGTACGCACACCGTATTGTAAATACTCCCCGGTTTGCAGTCAGTGCCGTGTCCCTGTCGCCTCCCCGGGCTCAGGCAGCGCTGTAGACGGGCCTCTTGTCCGTTCTGTTGTTGTGACCGGACGGCCACCTACCGCTGCGGCCCGGGCGGAGGGCGTACAGACCGTGATGCCGCGATGGAAGGGTTAAAAAGTTACCCATACCAATGCGCAGTGCACAACAGCAATAATATGATCAATCATGATAATAGTACGTCATAAAAAAGTTTTTCTCTTGGCTCTTTGCTTTGGTGTCGTGTACGATTATCCATCTGGCTGTCGGATTGACTGCTCACCTGGCTCTCTCAGTTATTTCTGTCATGATGCACGGTGAGGTGAGGAAGATTCTGTTTGTGATCATCCTTAATAGGAATTCTCTGGCACTGACCTGCAATAGCAATACAATAGCTCTTGTTGCATTATAGTGTCTTATAAGAACAGAGCTCAAATCTACTGTTGTAGCATGTTCTTAGTATACTCTGTCTCACAGATTGTATAAGGTGCTCACTGTGATATTTCCAGTGAGAGAATATTAGATGTACATCTGGTCAATGTTGTAACACCATGTCATTCATTATTTAGGGTAAAGGGGTGGAAGAAATGAAGTTTTTCCTTTACAGAAAACAGCTACCATTTGCCTTGAGATGGATTTGATGCACAGTTAGAATAAATGGGAAGATTCTGATTTATGGAAGCCGCAAAAGCCACAGAAATGTGATTTTTTTAGATATTGTTAATTAGAATAGCAGGTAGTGTGTCTATAAAGGTATTGGGACGCCAGTAACGACATCATTGGTCCACAGATGATCTAAGAAAAAATGGCTGCAGCTCATTCTCTTTCAGCTTGGAGGCAGGGTCCCCTGGTCTTCTTCCTAAAGTCCTGGCAGGAGCAGAATTTGCTGAAATTAAAATCCCATTTCTCAAGAAAGGCCCCGAGACCTGTCTAGAGTCTAGCGAGAACGTCAATATAGTTTTAGTAACCAAGGACTTCCCCACCTTCACAGAAAATGAAATTAAAATGAAAATAAGACATGGCCGCTGTTTTCTTCTAAGGAGGAGAAAGCAGCACTTGATTAATTTGAAGATTTTCATTCAAACCTTCTCATAGGTTCTGTGTAATTCAAGGCACTAATGCAAACTGAATCGCACTCTTAGATAAGGCTCGTAAAAGCCATATCAGCTCACACGCCACCCTCTCGGGTGTAATTACCCCCCAAGGAGCTCCTGGGTGCAGGTCGTTTCTTTCCTCCGTTGTTGCTTCTCGTCACGGAGGTCCAGGTGAAGAGACGTCCGTGAAAGATTTAAACGCTGGGCGATGTTTTACAAATGGAACCTGTGTCTGTGATTGCGTATGAACGCCACGAGCTAACTTCGCCAGGGCAGCCTGGCTGGGAGATGCCTGGCGGTTTGGGCCCGCGGTGGGCGCGCTGCTGACGGGTTTCGGTGTTGACTCTCCAAGCTGCCGGGATGGAGTGCTGTTCCGAGGAGCCCCGCTACACCATCGAGCAGATCGACCTCCTGCAGCGCCTGCGGTGGTCGGGGATGTCCAAGCCGCAGATCCTGCACGCGCTCGAATCGCTGGAGCGCCTCGACTCCGAGCAGAGCCACAAGCCCCCGCAGCCGCGCCCCCCCTGCTACGACAACCACAGCGGCAGCACCTTCGAGCCCACGGCCGCCGCCTCCTCCTCCTCCTCCTCTTCCTTGTCCTCCTTCACCTCGGCTACCACCCAGACCCAGAGCCTGGCCGCCTCCCCATCACCTAGCAACAGCTACGAAGCCTCCCCACCTCCCCTGTACCCTGCCGGTGGGGGTCAGAGGTCTTTCAGCTATGACCTTGCGGAGGACATGGGGGACTGGGATGTAGAGGAGAAAGTGGAGGAGTATATGAGGTAAAGTACGAGTGCTAGACACATGCGTAGATGTTTGCAGTAGACATAAGGACAGCCCTCAGTCAGTACTGCTGATGATTCCAGGGACTTTTGTCTCTCTGTTCAGGAGACAGCAGGCACCTGGAGGACAAGTTAAAGTACAAATGGATTAGATGGGAAAGGGCTAAAATCATCTTCTTATCTAATTCTGTATCTGCTGCTTGCCTCACCAGCTTGTCTGAATGAAACATCGTCTCGTGTTTCAGGAGGGACAGCAACGTGGTGAAGGAGGAGATTAAAGTGTTCCTCAACAACAGGAGGATCTCCCAGGCCATTGTGGGTCAGGTCACAGGTAAAACTCCAAAAGGTGATAGTGTGTCCAAAGCTGATAACTCTTTAAGATTATCCGGAGATTTTTTGCTGACTTCCGTGACCGAGCTTTAATCCAATAATGCTCAACTGATGGCCATAAAGATATTATCCGCTAGCTGAGCTGTTGAATGCCTTAGTTTGAAATGCCTTTTGATTTCCTGATTAAATAACTATTTAGTAAGTTAGCTTTGATTTGGAGCGCTTTAAAGCAAGAGTGAGCAGTCCTGGCACTGGAGGATTGGTGTGTCTGCAGATTTCTAAGTCTCTTCAACGCACCTGCAGAGTTTGGAGGAGTAAACAACTCTGACCACTAGCTATATTAACTGTCTCTCCTGTTCTCCTTCTAAAGCTCAGTCATTCTGATATTTTAACAGCATGTGCCCTTGTAGAGCATGCAGCTAGGGCAGCTGCTTCACCACTGCAGCTTGAAAACTCCTCAACTGGGTATAATGCCTTTGCACAGTTCCCTGACAGGATATTCTTATGCTCTGTCTTGTTTGAAGCATGCCGTGCTGCTTAGTTTGCCCTGTGGATGACTGGGGTAGAGCAGACAGTCCCAAGCTCTGGTTTCACAGGCGATCTGCACTTGTTCCCAAAGTAATAAAATATAGGATGGCAGTTATTGCTACCGGTAACGTCAAGTGACGGTCACTTCTGTTTTTAGGATTGTGCTGCACATGGGAGCTGCACATCACTGTCATTTTTTAAAAGACTGCCCTCTACAGCTCAGAGACGGGGAGGAAAGGAGAATTATCGTGTGACTTAGTTGGTAAAGAAGTAAGAGAGAGGCTGAGCGAGGCAGACTGGGTTAGAAGCTGGAGCTGAATAGTTTGAACCTACAATACAAGGATGGGAGAGACCAGTGGTGACTTCAAAAGAGGCCTCATTGTTGGGGCTAGATCAGACGGCACATCGATAACACAGACCATGAACCTGCCAGGAATGGGGTGAGGGACTGGGAAGGATGAAATGTGGCCCAGATATCGGACACTGAGAGGGAGGAAGTGGCCATACTGTGATCTGGTATCTAAGAGTGTGCAGAACATCTGTGAGTCCCGAGACTAATGACCAACATTGTGCCCCTATAGGTCACTGATTACCAGTTTATAAAGGAAGCAGTCTTCACTGTTAGTCTCCTCAGATAAATACAGAAGCTTTTCACCTGATCTCGGGCCTGAATTGTGTCCCTGTTAACCCACGTCTTGCCCTTCTTGGTCACGTGTTGCGGCGTCAGGCATCAGTCAGAGCTATATCTCCCAGTGGCTGCTGCAGCAGGGCCTGGAGATGAGCGACCCCAAGAGGAGAGCGTTCTACCGCTGGTACCTGCTGGAGCGCAACAGCCCAGGTGAGAGCGGCGCGGCGGCTTCAGGGGGAAGCCGGCCAACGCAGCGCCCCGAGTTCTGAGCCCCTCTCTGCCCCCTGCAGGAGCCACCCTGTCCCTGCGCCCGCTGGTGAAGGAGGAGCCCGAGTGGCGGCCCAGCAGCAGCCCCGGGGGAGGCGGGGCCGGGGGCGGGCTGCTGAGGCTGCGCAGGGGGAGTCGCTTCACCTGGAGGAAGGAGTGCCTGTCCGTCATGGAGAGGTGAGCCAATCACACGGCAGCCCTTCGTCTCCTGAGCGTACAGCCTTGCAGGGGCCTGACAGAAGCTCCTAGGGCAGGGGTGGCCAGTTCAAGTCCTCAGGAGCCACATTTCGCATGGGTCTATACTTATCTTTAATTGACTATGTCTCAGATGTTAATTGATTATTAGCTTAATCAATCAATCAGTTAATCGGATCATGTACCTATGCACAAAGATGGATCATGGTCCACAGAACACTGTGAAGTAAACCATCCTTACCTTTTTTTTTTTAATTCTTGGTAATTGTGACCAGCCCACTCACTTCAAGTAGAACTCTTTGTCGAAGAGATGATGATGAGTCAGGGCTCTTGATGACCTCGGACTCCACAGTAGTACATAGTCTCTTTCCTGCGGCAGGCCGTGGGGGGTGGGGGCAGTTCAAACTACCATCCACTGATCCCCCTGCACCCCTCTGCCTCAACCCGCTGTCCCTTTCCCTCAGTCCCACCGGGCTCCTCTGACACACTGGTTATTATATCTCAGTTTCTTCATAGAGAACCAGTATCCTGACGAGTCAAAGAGGGAGGAGATAGCCAGCGCCTGCAACACCGTCATCCAGAAACCAGGTGAGTGTCACAGCCCGGGTGCACTCAGCCTGAAAAGGCCATTGAATATCATCTTCCACACAAGTCAGGAATGCTCTTTTTTAGGGATGCATTTTTCTGGTGCTGCACTGCACCAGTTGTTGTGTGACTGTCTAAATTTCAAATACAAATATAAGGCCATAAATGCCTTAATTAGCAGAGTTTAATATTCTACTCAAGTCGTACATTGTAGAAGCTTTAAATAGAACCTAGAAGTGTGTTTGACTGAGGCCCTGGAGGACTGGAACTGGAGACCCCAGTTGTACAGTGAAACTGTATGGTTTTAGTTATTTCACAACTATCTTAGCTTGGAGAAAAAAGGAATGTACATCCAGATGTTCCACCAGCTGTCCTCCTCTTTGCTCCCACAGGCTGCAAGCTCTCCGAGTTTGAGCGGGTCACAGCTCTCAAAGTGTACAACTGGTTCGCAAACCGCCGCAAGGAGATGAAGAGACGGGCGAATATCGGTATGTCAGCCACCATCTGTCCAGGAGACAAGTCCCTCTTACTTAGTGCCCTTTTCAAGCAGGCTCTAGACAGAGACAGACCTGGTTTCAGTAAGAGATGAGTGAGCGAATATCTTTCTTCAGCTTCCACAGCTGAGAGAGCTTTTCCCACAGGTTTGTTTTTTGCTGTTTCTTTTAATTGAACAGCCTCCCTTAAATGCAAACCTGATGTTTGCTCTGTCATTTAATTTGCGTACTGAGCAAAAAGTATATATTGTATGAATAATAGAAGTGTGACAAAAAGTGACTATTCTGTACTATAATTGTCATCTTCTTGGTTTTAAGATGTGTCAGATAAAGAATGAAAGTGTTTGCCAATGCCTGTTATCTGTCTTAATTCTAATTTAGGTGCAACTTCAAACTTGCTTTTGTAGTGTTGCACCGGCAAAGTTATTGGCCTCATTTTTTGGAAGATTGTTTTATTTTTACATCTCCTGCTTGTATAGAAGCTGCTATCCTTGAGAGCCATGGTATTGAAGTCCAGAGCCCGAGCTGCCACTCCAATGCAGATGAGATTGAGGGCCCAGAGTTTAATGAGCAGGTGAGTTGAAGAGCCTTATAGCACTTGATTCAAACTCTACAGAGGGTCTGCCACAGAAGGACAAGTTTGAAACGTTGCTCAAGGAAGTGGTGAAAATATAACAGTCCATCTTAATTCTGATACCTTACAATTGCGTCATGTCCTTCACAGGAAGTCTTCCCCTCCAGGAAGGATGCTGACCAGGAGCCGGTCTCGTTGGCTGTCGAGGCAGAAGCGCTCCCGAGCCCTGCAGCCCTGCGGGCGTCCAGCCAGAAGGCCGATTTGAAGACGGAGGCAGCCGACGAGGAGTGACAGGAAGAGGGCCAGTCGCTTTGGCAAACCCAGGGTGCAGCCCCTTCCTGCAGAGACCCGAAACTCCTGCCTTCACCATGTCAGAGGGTGGCGGGGCGGGGCGGGCGCCCGCGGCGTGAGGAATTTCCCCCGGGGGGTGCAGGGGGACAGGGGCGAGACCCACCATATGTAACTACGATAATCATACTAATAGTAACGGCAACCGTAACCAATATTAATCGCAACGTAGTGTCTTCTGGGATCGCCTGGAAAGGGGAGGGAGCCGTGGCGCGAGGTTGGGGATCGCAGAAGAGGCAGCTCAGCTTGCAGCGCCTTCGCGACCACTTTCCGTTCCCCGTTTTACCGCTCTGTAAATGCGACGGCTTAGCGTGCACTGCAGAATCCCGGCGGCCCTGCCGCTGGCTCGAACCGTCAACAGGAAGCAAAGCAAGATGCCTGTCTGCAGGGGGGGGCAGCGTGTGCGCCGAGGAGAAGGCTTGAGCGCAGTCTGTGGGGGCAGCCCTCAGGGTTGAGGGGCAGCCAGTCTGTTCCACCAGGAATGCAGCCTCTCTGGTAATGGCAGGATAGGACACTGAGTGGAGATGCAATCTCAGGCACCGTTGTCTTTGTGGACAGGCCGAGCAAGAGAGTTAAAACCCACAAAGTTGAGATCACCCTGGTGGTAAAACATTGGTTGGCTAATAGAACATATGTAATGGAGAATGCACTGTACTTATAGTGTATTATATGTGGTGCTACTCTCTGTATAAGAAACATTTCCCCTCTCACTTTGACACCTGCTGAATCCAACGTGTTGTCTTGGAATGACACCTCCTGCCCGGTGTAAGAGAAATAGCTATGCTGTGTGCGGAGCGAACGAGGAGAGTTTGTGGGTAGCCAGCTTCGGGTTTTGTCATACAGTGTAGGATCATCCTTTTTTCCCAGTAGATTATTAGGCTCTAAGGGATGTTGCTTAAAACAAAGCAGGTCAGAAGTACCAGCAAAAGTGTTTCAGGTGCAACTGTATTATAGTAGGGTTGCATATTACCCAGTATTCTAACTGACAGCTGTATTGTCCTACACCTAGGGTTTTGCATTGGATATGACTCACCTCACATTTTCAGACAACTGATTTAGACCATTTTTAACTTCATTCTATTCAACAGTCAGTCACCCAGGAAACCTGGTATATAAATGCTTTCACGGGCTGATCTCTCCTGAACAGGTGGGGATGTGTATCTCTTTGTATGTTTGAATTATCAGAGGGATAGACGAATTTTTAACAGATGGGAACCCGTAAGGATGTAGGGTACAAGGAGCCGCAAAGCTTTTATGGTGCGAGTCTGTTCTGCAGTGCGTGCCTCTGTGGATTTGATTAACAAGGGAATAGACAGCAGTTGCCGGAATCTGCTTCCCGTTGATCAGCAGTAATATCTTGAGGTAGCCTGATGTAATGCTTCTGCTTGATTTAAGCAAAAATAAATAAGAAAAAATAAAACTCATGCAGTTCATTCCCTGATGCCTCGGATTGTTTTCTAGCCTTGCATCTCATCCAGCCTTTTCTCTGAGATACCTAGGAAATCCCCTCCAGAAAGCATGGGATGAGCAGATAAGAGATTTAAAAAAAATTAAATTAATTTTAAATTAAATAAAAATTAAGATTAGTCTAGGCTTCTTTAATCAAGAAAAAACTATCAATAATTCCAATATATACCTATTTTTAAAAGTCTTGCTTTCATCTTCCTGGTAATTTGTGTGTGTGTTGGGGGGGTTCCCCAACCTCTTCCAAAAAGGATCAGCCAGACTCACAATCATGCAGACCACTCCAGCACAGCGCTTCCCAAGCTTGCAGTGTCTCACATCTACAGCGGAGGGGAAATTCTGAAAATTCTGAAATAAAGGACTGCATACCTATTTGTTAATAAACAATTTATTCACATGAATATTTACAAAACCATGTTCTATGTTTTATAAAATAGAAATAAAGTCCTACTCATTAAGTAGAGACACTTAAATCAGGGGTTCAGTGGCTTCGTGATGAAAGAGGGGAACTGAAGGTCTGCAAGAAGCAAAGACACTCATCTGCAGCAGTTTTAAGTGATGCCAATCTTTTTCTTCAAAACCTGATTGCTGTACTCATCGGGTTATCTGGAACAGCTGGATTTTATGTTTCTCCATCTGTGAGGCCCAATTCCAAGTAGGGATCAATATATTTCATTAACAGGACCACGTGAAAGCTTTAAGGCTAATATTGTGCAGGATGCATTTAAATTCAAATGGTAGAATTAAGGAGCACTTCAGATAGAACCCCAAAATGTCTGCACATATTTGGGTTTTAAATGGTTGACGCAGCTCAGCTCTTCAGCATCTCTCTGTAACCCTGCAATGCCAAGTGGGGTGATAATCACACAGAACTGCACCACTGAATCGATGCACTGGGATCGTAAACCAGCCTTAGAGCTCACAGTTCTCCGCCCAAACCAAAGTTTTTCCTGGGCTGTGCAGCGTTGCTGCTACACATATTCCCCGCAGTCTGAAATGATCACCTTCTGTTTGGGCTTGCCATCCTTCGAACCCTGAGCCTGAGAAGAAAAACACATGAAGAGCCATCAGAAGGTAAGTAAGTGTGCTACTCATATACTTAAAATCAGGATGCACCACTAAGCTTTACACACGCACTGCATGTGGCTACTAAGTCTACCAGAAATGCACTTCTGCTTGAATGTGATCAACATTAGATGGGTGAACTGAAGAACGTTTTTTTGTATATAAACTGACTAGTAAGGGATCAGTTAATATACCGGTCATTCCAGCCCCCTGCCCCTCCTCTCCTGAACCCCAGTCTCTCCTGCCCTTAGCCCCTCCTCCGCTGAACACGTCCCTCCTGAACCAGTCTCTCCTGCCCCATGCTCAGCCCCTCCTCTCCTGAACCCCAGTCTTGCCTGCCCCACCCCTCCTCCCCTGAACCCCTGTCTCTCCTGCCCCCTGCTCAGCCCCTCCTCTCCTGAACCCCCCGTCTGGCCCAGTGCTCACCTCCATAGCTCTCACCACATCCATGCCCTCCATCACCTCCCCGAACACCACATGCTTGCCGTCCAGCCAGTCCGTCTTGTCGCAGGTGATGAAGAACTGGGAGCCGTTGCTGTTGGGGCCGGAGTTGGCCAGGGACAGCAGCCCTGCAGCAGAAGGACGACACCCCAGGAGACTCAGGAGACCCGCTGAGGTACAGTAAGCCTCCCTCTCCCATGAAAACTTGTGAATACTATGTGAATTAAAATGAATGGCATTCACTGTAAATTATTTTTCAAACGCTGCTAGCAAAATCTGTTGCAGCGCACTTGGGGTAAAGAGGAAAAACAGAATTAGGAGGTTTAAACTTTACCTGCTGCAACACAAAACAGACAAAGTCAGGTGCTGCAGTAGTATTAAGCACTTCAAAATGCTGCACAAGACTAGAGTTCCTTAATTTTTTCCCCCCAAGTCATCTTCCACAAAGTCACAACCCTTTTTCCAAAACAAAATAAACCTCTAAATATTCCTCATCCAAAATAACGACTACGTTTGAAAACCTCCTGCAGAACAGATGCAGGTTCATACGCGTGTGCAGACTTCGTTCAGGCGAGCTGCAAGATCGAAATTCGCCCCTTGTCACCTTGTCTGCGCCCCCCCTCACAGCCTGCAGCCCCCAGAGGCCACGGCAACACCCCGCCCCCTGCCGAACGCGGCGCCCCCACCTGGCCCGGTGTGCTTCAGGATGAAGTTCTCGTCGTCAAACTTGCGCCCGTAGATGGACTTGCCGCCGGTGCCGTTGTGGTGGGTGAAGTCGCCGCCCTGGCACATGAACTGCGGGATGATGCGGTGGAAGCTGCTGCCCTTGAAGCCGAAGCCCTTCTCGTGGGTGCACAGGCAGCGGAAGTTCTCTGCCGCGGGGGGAGAGACAGCGCGCGTGAGACTGCACCGTTCCCAACGCCCAGCGGAATCCGAGCCAGGCTGACCTACCACCCTCCAGGAAAGCAGTTCTTGCAGGTTTGCTCTAATTAAGGGGCCATCTTACAAAAAAATGCACCCAGAACCCCTTTAACCATTAACAACTGCAATTCCTGGCGCTTCTCTCCTACTTTTCATCCCAAACTCTTTACACAGAAGAGAGGATCCACTCCACCCACCACTGACGTACTGTTCCCACCTGGGTGACAGGTGGTTGTCATTATGCACATGCACCCCCCACATGTTATTGGGATTGGGTCATGCAGAAGTGAGAAATTATTTTGCCAATTAAAGGAGAAATCTGGGCAGTCTAGACTGTGCATGGATACCTTCAAATCGAGCAAGGATATCTTCAATGACCAAGCAGTCGGGACCTCAGTTTACCTTCTTATGTGAAGAAGACAGAACACTGTTCCCAGTCACCATACTGGAACTTTGTTTTTTCAAAATTCCAGTCCACAGGGGAAAGCACCACCTACTGGTCTGGCAACACCACTCACTGCAGCAACCAGACTGGTTAGCCTTTAAAAGTCTGCCACCCCAGCGCTCGCCAGGCGCAGCCCTGTTCGGCCTCCGAGAGCCGGCAAGATCACCAGCTACAAGGAGGCAGCAGCTTGCACTGCCATCCGACACAACGCTGCCAAGCCTTTAACAACTCGACAATTTCCCAAAGAACTTCACGTGCAACCGCCCAAATCGCAAAACGGCAACAAACACAAGAGATCGAAACCGATCCATCATCGATCGACTCAACGATGCCCCGGGGCTTGATCAAAAGAAGCTGTGGCAGGGAGGGTGTGCTGGAGCTCACAGTGACAGGGTGTCCCGGACGAGCCCGCGAGCTGCTGTACCTGCGGTCATGGGCACAATGTCTGCGCGCAGCAGAAACCGCAGGCGGCCTGCAGGCTTGTTGCCGATCTTGATGTCCATGTACACCTGGGGGTTGACACGCCCCTTCTTGGCCGGTGGCTCACCCTGCAACACAGTGGTCAGACCAGAGCAGTCGGAGTCAGTCTGGAACGCACGTGGACACGCCAACTCACACATCGCATATTCAACACACACACGCTGACACATGCGCATGCACTTGTGGGCCAGCGAACCACTTTCTCTCCCAATGGAAACACGCGCACACCGACGTACCTCCTGCGTCTCTGAGCTGGCCTGCTCTGCGGCTGGCTCTGCTCCTTCAGCCTCCTCTGTGGTCTTTCCCGAGAACTTCTTCAGCCAGTCGTCATCTGACCACACTGGGGGGGGAGGAGAGAAAGGCAGGAGAAAGGGACTGTTAATGTTGGGGATAACCGCAGACAGACCCTGTATGACCCTGAGAAAATCACTGCCTGTCCTGTAGGGTCTTTCTCTTCATGTTCCATGTGTTAACACAGCTTCTATAGAGCTTGAATGATGGATAGTTTCTACCCAAAACCTGTAAAGATCTCCAGTGAGCACCATATACATGTATACCAATTTTAATATTACTGGTAAAATAAGATTTGAAACAGGTGGCACTCTGCGCCTCTCACCTGGGCGTGAGGAGCCCTCCTTGATTCTCATGGGCTTGGCGATGTTCACTCTGATGGTCCGGCCAAACAGCTCTGACTCATTCTGCCGGGGAGACACAGAGACCACAGGGCACATGACTGCACAGCCCTGGCCCAGCTCCCACTGAGACCACCCTGCTTCAGCTCAGGGAACACAGGGAAGAGGCAAGTGCACTGCAAATTCAGCTCCATCTAGCAGAAACCATCTAGTGAAAGCTCGGGCATTTTACCATGAATTGTTCGATCACTTCTGAACAGCAGCTTTAATTACTGGTTTGCACATGCATAGCGTAAATAAGAGGAAACAGTATTCAGACAAGACAGAAATGCAAAGGCCTTATTGCAGGAAGCAGTGCTACAGGACACACGAAAAACAGTACTGAGTGGACTGAAGGGAGGGCTGGCTGCTGTCTTACTCACCATGTTGTCGATGGCGGCTGCAGCATCCTGGTTGAGAGAAATAACACACACAAAAAATTAAACACAGAAGCAGCACAGTTTAAATTCAGCGGGTGATTAAAATTAGGCAGAAGAAGAAAAAAACCTGTTTAAACTTCTGAGCAAGTTCTTATGTGAAAGTACTTTTAATATTTCTTTGCTCTGACCATGCTATTAAAAGATCACTATATTTACTGGTAAAATCATTATGTAAAAAAGGAAATGAGTGTTAATTTTATCATCTCCTTATAGCAAGGGTCTGCAACTCTGGTCCTGGCTAGCTGCAATGTCTTCTGCTTGACACAATCAGTTGTTTAATGGGTAGTCCAAACCTCTGCTCACTGAGCATTTAGTGATGCCTGTTAAGGCTGCAGGAGCTCTCCAGGACCAGGATTGTAGAGCTAAGCAATGAGACACTGCAGAGACAGGCCAATCACTGCACTGCACCCACTTCAGATGAGAGATCCATTCAGCGGCTCTCCAAACTATCTCCACTATTTTGTAGACAGGTTGAAGAGTCAACAAATCAGAATGTGTTTTTGAGTAAACATTCTAAAGTACAGGAAGATCATTAGATACTTTTACGATGAGGTGATGGATATTTGATATTACATTAGACACTACAACTACGAGTTAAATTGTTAACGTTTTTAGGAAGAAGTCAGACCCTGTGATGATGTGCGTGCGAGACAACACTCACCTCAGCCAGCTCAAACTCAATAAATGCAAATCCTCTGTGCTTTTCTGCAAACAGAGAGCAGTACAGGTATTAAAAGAACAGACAACATTTCACAATAACACAAAGTTTGCAAGCGAAAGGGTGCCGTTTGGTCCATCTAGCCTGCTTGGTAGTCAGAAGCTTACTGATCCCGTGACTAAATCCAGTTGTTCCATGAAAGAAACCTGCATCGACTTCAACACAGTTTCTATTTGGAAAACCAATAAAAAGGAACTTTAGGGAACCCAAATCATTCAAACCCAAATGCAATTTAGCTTTGATATTGTAGAGAACACCTCTATTCTTTCATGCTTTAAAGACAAAGCAGTAAGGACCGGGTCTTCACATCTCATCTGAAGTGTGGCACCTGCTAAAGCAGGGGAGGTCCAGTCACCTGTGTGGAGCTTTGGTTAGGAAACTGGTCCAGATGGAAGAGTGGCACCTCCTGCTCAGCCAGAACCACCTTTAGCACCAAACTGATAGTCCTTTGA